CAGTTCTGTTACTGAGAAGCTGACTCAGAACACCATGTCCACTTTGAAATGCAGTGTCTCAATTTACTTAGCAGTTGACCTTGATTCATACATCACTGATAGTAGAAATCCTTAATAATATCCTCAGCTTTTGTCCAATTACTTCACATTTATCTACATCTGTACCCACCTTTACATAATGACATTCTCTTAGCAAGAACACACGCACATACATACTCATACACATACACAAATGCAAATACACACACACACAAATGCACACGCACTTAACACATGCACATACCCACAGAGATAGACAGACAGACAGACAGACAGACAAACAGACAGACAGACAGACAGACAGACAGACACACACACACACACACACACACACACACACACACACACTATAGAAACACACTCACATACCCCTGGGCTTCGAAACCACTTTATCTTATTTTTGTAGAAACTTGACCCATCAGTTACTCGTATCCTCATTCTCCCTATCATCAAATTCTTCCCCTCCCTTTCTTTTAGCTCCATTCTGTCTACAAATGTGTTCAAGTTTCATCATCCAGAAAAAAGTCTCCTTGTCTCTGCTTCTGATTCAAGCTATCACTAACTGCACCCCATCGAACCTGTTCCTACCCCACAAACTGTAACAGCCCCTAGTAGCCACGAAGACTGGACATTTCCCAATTTTCATCACATTACTATTTCTTCCTTAAAACTGCCATCTTCCTTGATTTCTCTTCCATTCATATCTGTATTCTTATATAACCCTTATTCATTTTTTCTATCGGTTCCTCTTCCTTCAGTCATCCATGTTTATTGTCTACTGTGTACCAGACACTGCAGACTTAGGGACAAAAATATGCCCTAAAACTACTTAAGACTGATGTGTGGAGCCCGAAATTATGAAACAGTATGGGAAGAGCTGTGACCCAAGTGAGAAACCTAGATGTAAGGAAGGTCCCTAGGCCAACTGGAGGGTGAGCACACCTTCCAGGACATGACATTTGAATTTAATTTTCAGTGATGAATTGGCATTCACAAAATGCAGAAATGAGGAAAGTGTACATATGCACCAAAGAGATGTATGAACAGGCCTATGCTGGGCCTTTAGGGCCAAAGGACCCAATAGCCACTGACAGTAGAGTGGGTTTGAAAAACTGCAGCCTGTGGTCGTTGTACAATGGGAGAACTCAGGTGGTTTTACATATTTAAAGTATTTGAAAAGTAATAAAAAATAATACGTAACAGTGACTATATGTGGCCTGGAAAGCCTCAGCTATTGACTATCATCTGTCCCTTTACAGAAAATGTTTACCACTCCTACCCTAGACATGAGGGAAGAGAAAAGAACTTTTAACAATTGGCATTAGTGCCCTAGTCCCCTCAAGAGTTTTAGGAAGATATTCTAGCCACTAAGAAAATAAGAAGTCTACTATTAAAATTGAGCAATCAGAAGGCAAGAAATGATAGTCTGATACAGAGGTCAGTGCCAGAAAAAGTAACCAGAAACAAAAATGAAACAGTGCACTGTGGGGGGGACGGGGAGTGGGTGGGGACTGTTGGCTTTCATTATAAGATTATCTGGCCTATTTGCTTAACAAAAATTCCTCTTAAAGAAAATGAGCGCGAGAAAGTTGGAGGGGAAAATGCAATGCAGGAAGTGAGGAACATTTCCCAGAACAGAAAGAAGTCACAAGTCTTCCGAGGAAGAAGGTTTGCTGAGTCCTGGCAGGACAAATCAAAATGGGCTCATATCTACACATTCTTGTGAAATAGAAAAACTAGGGAATAGATTTCAAAAGCTTTGTGAAAAACAAAAAACAGGTTAGTTACAAAATGACATCAGACATTAGAGCTGTAAATTAGGAGCCTACGTATGTATGGAGCTGTGCCTTCAAAGTTCTGAGGAAAATGATTTTGAACCTAGAATTTTATATGCAGCCAAACTTATTAAGTGTAAATGCAGAGTGATTCAGACAAGCAAGAATTCAGAAAGTTAGTCTCCCATGCATTCTGAGAAAATCATTTAAGGATCTACTTTAGTAAAACAAATCAGGAAAATAAAGACTGGGAATCTGAGGAGTGGACCTACACAGGGATGGAAACAAAGGAAATTCCAGGACCACAGGTGTGCAGATCTAGAATGCAAACAGTCCAAAATGAAAACAGAAATAGCTTAGGGCTCCGAGGAAAACGTCCCACGTCACAACTGAGGGTCCACTTTCCGAGAGAGCCCGCTAGGTCTGATCCCACTAGGCACTCTGCAAACCTTCCATAAGGAGTCCAGCACTCCAATTCTCCAACGTATGAGCCAATTTCCCACCTCTTCCAACCCTAGCCCTTTCTACTGACCTCTCTGAAATCAGTCTTATCAGTAAAACCCCCATCTCCCAAACGCTTGCGCCTGGTGTTCCAGATAAATAGCATTCCTCTTCCTGGCCAGAGTTCTAAAACAATCAAGGATGTCCCAGGCTTCCTACACGGAAGCCAGGGCCTCTTCAGCTCTTACAGGGAGGTGCAGAAGCGCCTGTGCGGGGGATGGGGGAGCCCTACATGTCCTGTTTCTCAATCCATACTCATCAGTTATTTAAGACAGTGAATGGAAGTGGGTGAGACCAACGCTGTTGTGACCCGGAGACCACAGAAGAGCACAGCATCATCCCTGTCCTAACAGCTCCTCCATTTCCTTCATCTACTGGAACCTGTCCCGAGGACCCTGCTTTTCTTGCAGCCTGGCATGTGGTAGCTTTCTCATCTTTGTGTCCCATCTACCCTGGAACTGGAGATGGGGTAGGGGGCTTTGGCACCTGCAGGCCATTGTTTTTCCCACTCCTTTTCTTCACTCCTGCTGTGAAGCACATACCAAGGGGCCATTGCCTTCCCTCCACATTGCAGTAACCTCCAGGCACTTTGGTCACTGCCCATCACTCACTGGTGATTCTTTGTAGTGCTCACATCGTCACTCTTGATCCATCTGGTCTCCGTCCTCCCAGCTTTGATCTCACTTCAGCTCCGTATTTCCCCAGATCCTGTAATTGCTGATATGAACTCCCTCCAAACTTCAGCCCCACAGTGATGGTGAGCACAGACCTGTTGACTTCCCAATTACCCTCACAGGGGCTGATTCCAGGGCTTGCTGTCATAGTCAGCCCCCCATCACACACACAGCCCACTTAGCGCGCCCCTCCCCCCCCCCAAGGACAGATATGGCTTTGGCCTTGACTGTTCCCACGCCCTGCTACATCCAGATGTCAGGCCTAGGGTGTGGGGTGTGGAGGACTCTCTCCCGTCCCATCCTCCCTCCTGGGTCAGTATGCCTCTCTACAGAAGGATGCCCTGACACTTGCCAAGTTGCTGAAAAAGCATGTCTCAGAATGACTCTTGGATTCCAGCTGTTTCATTTCTCCTTTCTTGAAATCTGGGTCTGTACTGTCTATCTCCTCTGCTCCCTTGCTCTTTTTTTTTTTTTTTTTAAGATTTTTATTGGGGAATTGGGGGATGGGAACAGCGCTAGGGAATTGGGGGAAGGGGAACAGACAAGTTTCTGTTGCTTTGTTCTTCAGTCTAGTTGTGGAGGATGTTGCTTCATTGGCCCAAGTTGGCACCATCATTGCGCTCTTCCTGGGTGAGGCAGATCAGTCGCTGGCTTCTGGACGGCTGTTCACTGCGGCTGCTCACACTGGCTGCTGGCTACATACGGTAGCCCATGGCAACCCACTGCCACAGGGGCTGCAGCCTACACCGTCGCCGGTGACTCACGGCAACCCAGCTCCAGGTTGAGCTGTTTTTCAGTATCTTAGCTGTAGAGGGCAGTGTCACTGGCCCTCATATGTGGGATCTGAACCGGGGCCCTCTGGCGTCCCAAGCCAGCTCTTAACCAACGCGCCACTCAGCCGGTCCTGCTCCCATACTCTTAAACACTCATGAAGAACACATCCACACTTATCTCACAGGTTGTTGGTCTCACTTGTGCTAACTTTTAATTGTGTGCACTAAAAGAATTAATATTGTCTTATTTTTATCCAAAAATTTCCCCGGCTTTTAAACTTTTCCACGTGTCATTTATCATTTTATTTAAATGGATCTTAATTTGTGATTAGACATTTTCTATTCTAAAAATTAAAAAAGTCTGTTATGTTTATGGTTTCATTTTTTTAAACACTTAAAATCTTTGGCCACTTAGAACTTATTTAAGTATAAAAAAATGAGTAACTTTGCTTTTTTCAAGGTGGTTAACTCAAATGTCCCCAACATCATTTGTTGACAAGTTTCCATTTCCCTGATAATACGCCCCTTAATGCTACACATATTCCTGTGTATTTGGTCTATTTATGGACTATTTGGGTGCAGAGATACATTTATTGTGCCAGCAGCTTGCTGTTTCAATTAGATCATGTTATGAGAGGTTTTAAAACAATTTCTGGCTATTCTTGCCTTTTTGCTTTTCTGTTTAAACTTTAGAGTCATCCTGTCTATTTGTGTTTTAAAGTAAGGGAAATTGACATCTTAAGATACTGCATAGTTAAATGTAAGAATAGCCCATACCTTTCACTTACTCAGTTTTTCTGTGTGTTCCTAAGTTATTTTAAAATGATTTTCATGTAGATACTTCCTTGCTTGTTACAAGTTATTTTTATCACTTTTTGTTGCTATTGAAAAAAATAACCTTCCATTATATTTTCACTTTTCTGTTAATTTTGTATTTAATTAAAAACTTAGTGAATTCTTTTCTATAGCTTTTCAGTTGCTTCTCTTAAATTTTCTGGCAGTTATTTTATCTGTAAATAATTTTACAGCTTTCTTCTTGTCCAAGTGCCTTTTCCTTTTCAATCATTTCCTCTACAGTCTGCCAATGTTCTGCTGGTAGTGGTTTGTGAAAGAGGACGCCTGAGAGGGTGACGGATGTTTGCCCTGCTTCTGGTTCTCTGATGTGCTAGTAATGAATTTTATGTTGCTAAAGAGTTATCAGGAATGTGTAATTCACATACCACAAAGTTTTATTAATGTAATTTTTAAGGCCAATTTAAACTAATTTTATTCAGAGTAAGTCTACATTAAAGTACAATATTAATCTCTAGAAACAATGAACTTAAAATATAAGAAGTAGAAATCTATTTGGTCTTTTGTAGACCACATATTATTTTGTAACTCACAAAGAAAATTTACAAATATAGAAATGATGATACTTAAGGAGTGAGGATTTTCATATGGAAACCCATAAGGTGTCATATTTTAAACACGCATGTTCCAAAAAGGCAGAATCTTTTAATAATTTAGCACAAAATCAAATTATATAAACTTGGTATATTCCAGAAAATATTGCTTTAAACACTTATACCATGATCAAAATTCCTTTGGTAGTTTTTAATCAAAATGAAACATGCTATTATGTAAAATATAAAGTACTTTTAAATGTTATCATAAAAGTATCTTTGTTATAGTTACCATACTAACATCATCATTTGCTGTTCAACCTCACCTATACATACACAACATGAAACCAGGTGCCAATGAAATCCTTTTAATCTTTCGACAAAATAACCTCTGCTTCAGAATACCAAGACTTTAAGTCTATAAAACTTTTTACAGTGGTTATAGCACAGAGAACAACGACTGTCCCTGCTCATGACTGTAAAAACAAAACCAAACTTTATTATAGCAATCATACAAATACTGCAATTAATAATAAATCAAACAGCAGTTACCCTAATGCAAAAAACAGGGACTGCTAGACTCAATCTTAGAATGGTAAACACAAACACACTATCCCGCCAAACTTAAAACAGAAAATTCACAAGTAATTTAGTGGAAATAAAATAAAGACCCTGATGGGTTCACTGCATCAAACACATCAGACCCGATGTCCTATTGGCACATCAGAGATCTCACTGAGAAACCTCATTATAGAAAAATCAGTCATCAAAGTTTAAAACTTTTGAAAATAAGTGAAACAGATGCCAGTATTTAGGTTGCATAATTGATTAGCCAGTTTTTAACACTGTTTCTTCCTAATGTTCACCAATTAAGGGTTCTTGTTTTTAATCTAAGTGTTCATCAACTAAGGTAGCTTGTCTTCAGGAATACCTAAGTAATCTTTGTAGCGAAAGAATGCAGCATAGAGGGTCTTTTTAATTGTGCATTCATGATCACATGCACAAAAACAAACCAAACTTTCAGTTTTTTGCTACAAGACCACCACCTTACAAAGGAACCTCATTTAACCAATATCTTCTTGTCCAATCCCAAAGTCATTCTGCATAGAGCAATGGAAACAATTTAAACGCCTAAAAGAACAAGAGGAAGAACTTGAGGGAGAAAAGACACATATGCCATTTGCAAATCCTTAAGCCTTGTGAAGGGTTATCCAAGAATCATTTCCTTCTAAGCCAAAGTATCTGTGCTGGCTCAATCCCAGAAAGCCCAGGAAACAGCACATAAGTATTTTACTCAGAAGATACATTCCAGTGTCTCACTGAAAGAAAACAGTGGGCCAACGCATCAAGCCACGTAGTGGTACTGATTTGGATTGTCTTTGTCTCTCTCCATATAGTCTCTGTCTATAAGAGATTCAATTCTCTTTTTCAAATCTCCAGGCTAAAAGAGAAAAACAAACCCCCTCAAGTTTAGTGGCATGAAATTCACAAACATAGGGATATGTAACATCACACATGAAGTGTGTGATTATAATTAGATATATAATTATATATACAGAAAGTTCCAAAAAAATGTATACACATTTTAAGAAAAGGAAAATACTGTTATTAAAATTGTAATATATACTAATAAGAGATGAAAACAAGTCATGTTTGACTTCTGCAATTGCAAGAGGTGCTCAAAGTGGCTACCATCAGCATCCAGACACTTCTGATTATGGTGAACTACTGCTTGAGCAACACTGACCAATGTGTCCACTTGTATCACTGCGTATGCTGTTTCAATTACTTCCCAAAGTACTGCCAGTGTAGCCGGTTTTCTACAATATACCACATCCTTTAATGCCCCCCATGTCTCCATTGTCGTTGTACTTCCACGTTCTCGAATTTCAAATACCACTTCCAAATGGTCTTGAGCTCCTCAAAAGACAACCATGCTTCCGCCATTTTCTTTAACTGTCCTGCCTGTTACATGGTGACTGACACTAGCATTCATTTGAATAACGCTATCTTTTGAGCGAACATCATACTATATGTTGCTACCTTAATTCAACTTTGAAAATACATAGATAACATCTCTTAAAATGTGTACATTTTTTTGGCACCCCTGGTACATATTTATTTATAATTGTAATCTAATTATAAAACGAATAGAATAAAACTCCCTACTTCAAAGACAAAGTTTAACATTATCTTGATAAAAATCCTTCCATGTGAATTTATTGTCAGAGCAGGGCTTCTTATGGGAAATGTGCAACTTGTGAAATGTAAATACATTATTTATCACTAATGAGTACATAAGCATGGCAGATCCTATTAGGTAACACATTTCTGTTTGTTTGAGAGGAAAATCTGATAATGTCTCAGGGCATTTTCATCCATTGAGGACATTTCCCTCTAATTACTGTATTTTATTATATATTTACTATATGTGCTATATTTATATATGCTGTATTTATAACCACAGATTTTGAGTGTTCCTTTGCGCTTAAAGTTGATGAATGAATTGACATGACATGCCTGCTGTGGAAGGGTGCCTCTGGCTGTGTTGTATTAGGAAGGACACCTATGCGACATTTATGAGCAAGCTTTTCCCTGTATATGGGTACATTCTATTTCCCAACAGTATAACTTTGTATTTAGTGATAGATGATACATTTTACAATATGTGGCAGAAACCCCATTACTTATCAAGGCAGAAAAACTAGGTGCTATGGCTGTATGCACACATGTTACTTGCTATTCAGTCTTTTAATTGCTGGGTCTCTCATCTGCAAAGGGGAAAATCAGCTTGCCCTGGCTCGTGGTAGGAAAGACTGGTGTATGAAGCAGTGTTTCCTGACTGTGCAGAGTGCTGTGGAGCACACGTTGCCTCTGAAAAGTACAAGAGCCCAATATTTGCTTAGGTAAGATGGTACTCCCATTTCAGTGTCGGGACTCACTGGTCCACCTCAACGTGACTCTCTTGGTGAGGAAGAAGGTTCAGCTGCTCTTTTACCAAACTGGGCAACATACAATCAGGGTACTTCCACCCCAAAAGCACATGGGGTGGGTAGGTTCAGTCACTGAAAGGACAGGTGACATGAGAGTCCCACACTTTTTAGGTGGATATATACATTTTAAAGAGCTTTTTATATTGCTTCCCTCACTTAGCCTGTACCCCACATACAGCCAGGACAGTGACTCTTGTCCTGGAAATATGCATGGACTGAAAGGTCTTAGGGTAGGCCTTTTACTCAACAGCAACAAGGAAATATTACTGAAGTAGAAAATGCTTTGTAGCTCCTAAAATGCTGAGTAAATTAGTTGTTAGTATGATTTCCTTAAAATCCTGTGATATAACCTGAACTGTTACAGCTACTGAGAATAAATGTGTCTATATCTCCATGTAAGTACCCTCCTCTTCCCTTCTTGAAAATATAAATACCACATCTCTGAAAATGGGAATTTTAGGTATCTATCTTTCCTACAATGGTGATGAAGAACATTTGGTATCAAGTTCCTACCATTGTCACTTGCCAGTTTCCTATACTTATATATACAAAGGTAGATTTTTTTTTTTTGTAGCAAATGATCACTTATAATGTAAAACAAAGGGTATGTTTCTGAAGGTAGTGAGAATTGAACATGCTTTGTCAATGGTTTAGCACAATACCACACAGGTTTAATTAAGCTAATATACATTTACCTTTACTGGAAATTTCAGCTGATTATACAACTCAGAAACTAGAAGATTATGACCAAGAGTTTTCCTCATCTTCATTATTCTGACTATAGCAGCATCAATCTGATATTGTCTGTCCTGAAACACTCTCTCAGTGGTGCTGACTTGTTCTTCAACCTGCACAAAAAAGTGAAGAGTAAAGATGTATTTTAGTATTAATTATTTCATGCTGTTGAGTTTAATGAGAAACCTTTGATGAAGAGAAAGGCCAAACTTTCAATGAATCCTGTTCTATTAAGCATTTTTATTTGTTCTCATAAAACCTAGCTTCCCAAGAACAGTGCAACTTCACTACCAAAACTTGAAAATGAACTTAAAAAGTTATATTTCCCTTATAAAAAAGCTGTAAAACCCCTATATAATCCTGGGTTAAATCCAGTACCACAGTAAAAAAATAAAACAAAGCTTAATAGCCATCAGAATTTATTCCAATGTGCAAACTTTGCGCAACATTAGGAAACCTACTAATGTAACTGAGATCATCCCAATAATGTCAAGGTTAGATTATATGACCATCTTGATAGATGCTGCAAAGGCATGATAAAATTGAAAATCTATTCTTGATTTAAAACAAACTTTAGCATATAAGAATTAAAAAAAAAAAAAAAAAAAAAAAAACCTGAACATGATAAAAGGCTGTCATCAGAAGCAAATAGCAAATACTGGTAACAACTTCATGTTAAATGGCAACCTAATGGAAGTCCACAGATCAAAGCGGGGTGGGCAAGAGGTAGGTCTGTGCACATATGTGAGGTAAGAACTCAGAAAGGGAGAATACAAGCTGAAACGATGAAATTCCTCTCAAGTTCATTGGAGAATGTTATTATTTGGAAGATCAAATGAATAGAAAACTGACAAAGACAGAGATTATATTCATATATACACACATATAAATCAGAATATTTAGTATAAAGATGAAAACTGCAAATTGTACTCTGGATAAAAAAGTCAGTGTTCTTATTTGGAAGATCAAAGATGATAAAATTACTCTCAAGTTCATTGGGAGAATAAATTTATAGGAATAGGTACATTAAAAGAATCTGGGTACTTTTTTTTGGATCTATGATGCAAAAAAGGTTAATGTTCCCTGTACTAGAGATAAAAAATTAACCAGGAAGAAAAAGCCTTGTAGCAATGCTATTTCTTAAAAATATTATTTTAGCAATAAGAGAGCTAAAGAGGTATACTGAAAAAGAGCAGACACGTGAGCATTATTTGTAGAAGAGCTGCAAAACCCCAAATCCAAGAAAACATACTGAAAAACCATCAAAGCCAATGTGAATTTTATAAAGTGGCTGGATACAAGATAAATACAAAGATAAAAAGCACTTATATATAGTATATATGAACACTGGCAATAACTAGTTACACATGTAAAGAGAAAAGATCCCCATTATAGGGTGGCCATTCTTGCTTCAAACTGCTAGTAGTACCTTCCCATATCCTTCCATAGGTCTGACCAGTCTATATGAGCTGGCTGTGGCCTGCCTCCCCAGGCCTTACCTGGCTCAGCCTCCCCTTTAGTGAGAAAGCTTTCCCTGACCCACAGTATTAGACTTGGATTTCCTGTACTTCTCCATCATAACTTTTTACCTCAACTGTAACAAGTTCATCAATGTGTGGTCATCTGGTACCTATCTATTGCACAGGCCTGAAAGCTCTTTGAAACAGGATTGTTCTTTGTTGTTAATAGCTGAATTCTCAGTGCTTCCTAGAAGACCTGGCTCACAATAGGTGCTTAATAAGTATTTGTTGAACTATCTAATAAGAAATATGTAAGATTTACAGAATAAAACTAGAAAACTCTGAGGAAGACAGAGATTATACACTCATATATACACACACATATACATCAGAATATTTAATATGATAAAGATGAAAACTACAAATTAATGTAATGCACTCTCAATAAAAAAGTCAATGTTCTTAGTTGGAAGATCAAAGACAATAAAATCACTCCCAAGTCCATTGGGAGAGCAAATTTATAGGAATAGGTACATTAAAAGAATTTGGGTACTGGCTATGAAATAGATAAACAGAATTTGTAGAATAGAATTGAAAAACTGACCCACAACATAAATTTGATATATAATAAAGGTGACAAAATTGTCAGAGAATGACACTGGCAATTCAGTTTTAGAATAGGAGGGTTGTTAGATTGCTTTTTGAATATTATAATTTCTACATTGCTCAAAGAAAGATTTAAATGTAAAACTACTAGAAAAATAGTTAATTTTAAAAAAATTCGGGTTAAAGGAAGGTCTTTCTTTGGCGTGACCCTCAAGTCAAAAACCATAGACTATATTTGAGAACTTAAAAATTTCCATGTGTGAAAAACCCGTCAAAACAACAAAATCATCTGTTACAAATGACAAAGGGACAATCTCCTTAATATATAAAGAACCTCTACTAATCAGAAAAAGAATATTCCAATAAATATACCAGCGACTTGAACAAGCAATGAATTAAGGAGAAAAAAAATACAAATGGCTAACTGTAAAAGAGCAGCACCAACTTTTATAAAAAAGTGCTTACAGGTACTTGGCCAAGACTTTTATAAACATTATTCATTTAATTCTTACAACCAGAGGTAGTACGTCTACTTTAAAAGATGAATTGATGATTACATAATTTGTATGAAATACTAAATGGCATAAAAATGCTCAAAAGAATCAAAGGAATCTAAACTAAACTGGTAATGAACTATTTTCATGTTTCTGAGCAGAGTGGGCAAGGGGCAGGTGCAGGGAGGGCAGGTACACTCTTCAACTGGAGACTGAAATCTGGTAAAATCTATCACTACCATTTGGAAAATAGTGGTCAGACTAACAAAGTTCACATTCTTTGACCCAGCAATTCCAGGGCAAGGATTTATACTAACAACCTTAACAAACAGGAATGTTTGTTCCAGGATGTTTAATGTCACCTTATTTCCACTAGAGAGTGATAGAAACAGCCTAAATGCCTTTCAGCAAGGGCACTGCCGACCTCTTGTGGATGCACACAGATTCACACAACGGATTCCTGTGCACCCATTAAAAACCAACTCCTGACATGGAGAGAGGCCCATGATAAAGAATAAGAACAGGTTACAAAATAGCACATATAAATTAAATGGCATATGTAGAGTGATCCCATTTTAAAAAAAGTTTATATACATCATAGACAAAAGCTGCATGAGTACAAATGTGGCAATAAATGGTTTTCTTTGGAGGAAAGAGATGACAGTCCCACTTTGGAATTACAACTCCAAAACTTTACACCCTTTTAATCACTCTCATAAATTCCTAATAGTAAAAAACATGTCCATTTGAATCTTCAATAGATATGTCAAATTGCCCACTAAAAAAGGTGTACCTATCCAAACATCTTTAACAACATAAAAAAGGCTTGTCTTCCCATGTATTGCCAGCCTTGGATATTGTCAAACTTTTAAACATTTCCTAAGTTGATAGATGAAAAATGGAATATTACTTTAATTTGAATTTTACTAAAACTACTAATGAGAGTGAACATTTTTAATGTATTTATTGGTCTTTTGTATTTCTTTTTGTGTAAACTGAACATATTTTCTGACTGGGCTAGTTAGAACACCTCTATGTAAGTGAAGCAATCACTGTCTACTGCTGGAGGCAGAGGAAGTATTTGTGATGCTGCTCAGATCAGTTAAAGCTGTGTTGTCTGAACTGACCTCACTCCAAAAGGCCTCTCCTCACTCATTTACATGTACAAGGAGGCCAGCTGGACACCCTATTATGTAAGTGGGTTCCAGGGGTGCATGTGCACACCTGGCCTGTATGTTTGACAACAACCTAGGGCTACAAGGGCTTCTGCAGTAGGAAGGGCCTGAGGACAGTGGTCTAGAACCTGTTTTGGACACAACATTTGAGAATCTGATCAAAGCTACAGATGCTCCATCTGTAGACTATCACAGATGCAATGTCAGCAGGTCCATGTCACCCATAATCCTCACCATTTCACCCCAGGAATCTGGCTGAGGCTGAAAGAATGGCTGAAATATGCTGTGCAAAAATAAAAAAAAAGTCACTGGGTTTTGAAAATAACATGCTCTCTCCACTAACACAATCTGATAGAGGAAGATCTGATCTATCACACCATTTCTGTGGACAGGAATAACTGTTAAATGCATTTCTTTCTGATTTTCATTCCTATTGTGAACATAAAGTTAATGAAAGCTACATTAAAATGAGTACTCTTATAAACATTACATATTCAAATTAGATACTTTAGAAATATGCTTCAGAACTCTTACAGTCAAGAAATTACTATAAAAACTAATTATTCCTTTCCTTGATGAACATCCTATAAGTAAAAAGAGAAAGTTTATACATACAGTTTCCTTCATCTGAATTTGATTGATCTTTATTCGAAACAACTTGTGCTTGAATTCTCCGTTAAAAATGAATTTGTCTCCATCTTCTACCTCCTTTCCTTTGGGACTTTTAATCAGAACTCGTGCTTTGCCACAGGCCAGGGACTGTAATGTTCTTCGTAATTCACTGTCCTCTGAATGGGGAGAACATGCAGGCACAGGTTAGCATTAAAATGAACAAGACACTCAACAATGAAAGGAACCACTCTTAAGTGTGATGAGCAGAGACCGAGTCTACATCTTCTCTTAAATGAATAAATGGTTTGTTTGTTTTTTTCCACGTGGGAGTCGAACTGGCAACCTTGCTGTTAAGAGCGCACACTCTATCCACTGAGCCATCTGGGCTGCAGCTCAGCTCAACGTGCGGAGTTCAGTCCCAGCCGCAGGTGGGCATAGCCCACCATCGAACAGGCAGTCTCGTCATTAGGAGCACGTGCTCTCACCAGCTGAGCCATCCTGCCACCTGTTGGCAGCTCAGCTCATGTGAAGCTCAGGCGAAACTCACTGGCCCATGTGGGAATCGAACCATGAGCTCAGAGCTCATGGTCTTAAACAAACTCTTAACCAACTGAGCCACTTGGCTGGCCCGCTGAATAAATGTTTTAAAAGCAAGACACTCAGAAACCACACATTCATGAAGAGCGTTTTCATACCTATCCCAGTGGCCATTTTTATTTCTTCAAAGCTGAATCCGTCCCCTTCGTTGAACATGAGAAGCACCAGAGTCTGGAAGAGGGACACCTGGAACTCCTTTTTTCCCTTAAAGAAAACATATCACGTGTGATGCTGTGTTTGCACAATTTTTGGAAAATTTTAAGAGGCTTCTTTTTGCTCTCAAACTTTTGGTGGGCGTGGGGTAGAAGAAATTACTTATTAGCCACCAAAATAAAAAATTGTTACTAATTATATACAAGAATAAAACGACTTGGTATTGCATTTAATTCTTCTCTTGAAATATTTTTTAAAGTAGTAAAAAAGTTCTTTAGTTAATTGTGTTGGACAAGACGGGGATTATCATTATTTGAAGTCAGACATTACTGATAAATATCTAACAGCACCCTCACGTCCCTTTTTAGCCCGCTGAGGTCCTCTTAATGGCTGGCGGTGGGACTGCCACTGGAGTGAGTGGGCAGAGCATGAGAAAGCATGACAAAACCTGTATGGATGAGGAAGCTGGCAAAAGACCCAGCCAACACCGTTGTTAAAAGAATGAGTAACGGAAGAAGCACACTGATGATCATAAGCTGTCAGCCTAGCTTCCCTTTATACGTGCCTGTGATGTACATGATAAAACAGAAACCCAGCTTTGGACCTCACATAATTCCCTGCCTCTATTCAAAAAGTCCCCGCTGCAGAGACTTGCCACATGCAATTAGTTCTGTGTGGATGACGAAGGATCCTGTGTGAGTGCTTCATTCTCAGGCCTAGCCACCGAGGGCGAGAACTGTAAGTCATGTGATCATTCTGCAGAGATCAGTTCTGAAGCTGGCAGTTAATGGGATTATAATATCTTAACTCTCATAATAAAGATGAATATGTTTGGTTTTATTTATATAACCCTACACAACACAATGAGATGTATGCATAATATATATACATAATTGTATATATGCATATACAGTTGGCTTTTGAACAATGTGGGGGTTAGAGGCACCAACGCCCACGCAGTTGAAAATCCTGTATAACTATAGTGGGCCCCCTGCATCCGAGGATCGAAAATACTGTTGATCCTTGAACAATATAATATGGTTGAACTGTGTGTGTCCACTTACACATTTTTTTAAAAAATTCACATATAAATGGACCTGCACAGTTCAAACCTGTGGTGTTCAAGGGTCAACTATATATAACTTATGATAGTGTATAATTAGGCTAGCAAAATGGGAATTTTAAAAAATTTTTTGCTTAGTGTATATAATTTTATTTACAAAATTGAAATTAAATGCAAATATGAAAGGACTGTTTTGTGGTATCCTTTTATTTATCAATACATTATATGCATTTCCCTTCTTAAATTATCACTTTTAATAATAGCACTGCAATGAATATTCTTACTCATTAATCTGTGAAAATGTCTTAAGATGAATTCCCAGAACTGAAACTACTGCAACAAAGCATGTCATCTGAGAAGTTTTGATATATGTATGCATTGCCAAACTGCCCTTCATAAAGCTCATATACTTCCTCCAACAGTGGGTGAGAGCTGCTGTTTCTTTTAGTTTTAACCTTTATCAATTTCATAGTCATTTTACTGTATTTTAATTTGCAACTCTTTGATTGTCAGAGAAGTGGAACACATTTTCATGGGTATTGATTTTTTAGTCTTGCTTTTATGAATTGCCTCTCCACATCCTTTGCTCTTCAAATAGGTCAAGTCCTTTCTATTCTTATTGATTTTTAATGATTGGAATATTAATCCTTTAAGTTTAATTTTATTGACCTAGAAAAGCCAGTGTTGAGTTATACTCTTTTCCTTTCTTTGCTACCAAAGTTCAAACGCAATTTTATAAAATTCTATTAACATACTTATACAAGAATAAAAAATAAATGACAAAGAACTTACTTCCTTAAATTCTGCTTTTAAAACGGCATGTCCCAACGTAGTTTGCCATTGAAGTTTTCGACCACTGTGCTTTCCTAGATAAAATGTCTTAAATACTTCCTGAAGTTTAATCATCTGTCAAGCACAGAAAAATAACAAATTTAATTGTGCTAAACACCATTAATCTAAAGAACCATATATTGTTCAATTTACAATGTTTTTACAATTTTTCACAGCTGAATAAAAAGAACAGTTCTGTTTTGACAGATATTTTCCTGGATTCTATTACCTGTGAAAATGTCCACCACTCTAGTACTTTGGGGTTTCCCCTCACACACTGGAATAATGCCTGAACTGGTATTTAATGTACAAACAGGTTGTATTCTGCAGTCTCCACACCCCACACCAGGCTCCCCTTGGCCAGTGGCACATATGATGAAGGCTAGAGAGGCCATCCTCAGAGATGCTGTCTGAAGGCCCAGGTGTGCCCTGCCAGGTCTTAGCTCAAGCTCTCACTGAGTCCTAGCTGCTCTAAGGGCCTCATGCTGCCTCATCTGTGGACTATCAACTGTGTAACAGCAAGGCCCCTGTTGTCGCACTGCAGTGAGGCTGAATGTAAAACACTCAGGATGGTGCTTGCACAGGAAGCACGACATTAGCTAGTCATTATTTTCTTGGAGGATTTATTACACCTTCCAAACTTTCTGCCAGTTTTTTTATTGCCGTTGTCTCACTTGGAAGCTCCTGAGCTGCTCCTTCTCCAGGTGTCTCCCTCCTTTCCCACTCCTGCATCTGTTATTTATGGACAAACTCTCCGATTTCTCTGACAGCATTTCTGTATACATGTTCTCATGTACATCTGTTCCTCTAACTTCCTTTTGCTCATTCTTTTCTTTAGCTCGTTTCATATCTCTGCACCCAGGATCACCAATGGGATGTGCTCCCAAATCCAACAGCTCTCTTCAGGCTTCATCTTGTATGAGGTTCCTCTCAACAACTTCCCACGCACACAGCAGCTTCCTCCTGCCCTCCTGGCATCTGTGACGCTCCTTGCTGGGACTTCCGTCTCTGTCTGGAGTCCATGCCTTCTGAATCTTCTTAGATTTGTCTTCTGACCCACTCCACACATACACTGGCATCCCCAGGGCCGTGTATTCCTCCCCCTTTTGCACTCTGGTCACTCCCTTGTCAATGTCCTTGGCTACTTCCAAGTTCTTCCCTAAGAGTAAAATTCTTCTATGGCTTGTCAAGGTCCTTTGCCTTTGGAACTTCTGACCCCACTGGCCTGTCCTATGCCTCCCTCCCCTGGCTCTCCATGGTCCCTTTCCCCTTAGGTTTTCACACGTTTCCTCTACCCAATTTGGGAATCCACCTCCCTAACTAAACGTACTGCACTAGATGTGGTACCAAGAAAAAAATGCTACAGGGCCGACTGAGTGGCGCGTTGGTTAAGAGCTGGCTTGGGACGCCAGCTCTGTGTAGCATGACCCCGGTTTGGATCCCACATGAGGGCCAGTGACACTGCGCCCTCTACAGCTAAGATGCTGAACAACAGCTCAACCTGGAGCTGGGCTGCCATGAGTCGCCGGCGACGGCGTACGCTGCAGCCCCTGCTGCAGTGGGGCTGCCATGAGCTACCATGTGTGGCTGACAGCCAGCGTGAGTGGCCAGCAGCCGGTGTGAGCTGCCAAAGCTACTGTGAGCGGCTGTCCAGAGGCTGGTGACCAATCTGCCTCACCCGGGAAGAGCGCAATGATAATACCAACATGGGCCAGTGAAGCAACGACCTCCACAACTAGACTGAAGAACAAAAGAAAAGCAACTTGTCTGCTCCCCTTCCCCAATTCCCCAACACTGTTCCCCTCTCCCAATTCCCCAATAAAATCTTTAAAAAAAAAAAGAAAAAAATGCTACAGAAGACAGCTGGGACAACTGACAGGATGAGCATATGGCTGTATATTGGATGGAAATATTACATCAATGTTAACTATCTGAATTTGACAACACGCTCTGGTTATGTTTTTGGGAACCACTCACTAAAGTATTAAGGGTAAAAGGTCACCTATTCTGAAATGGACCAGGAAAAAAATGGCCCATACATGGACACAGAATGATGAAGCACATGTGGCAGTGCTACAGAAAAAAATGGGTGAAGGGAGCTGGAAAGTCTTTGAACTATTCTTACTAATTCCCTATAAGTCTGAACTATTCCAAAATAAGAAGTGAACAAACTTGCAGTCCCACGAGAGAGGCACACCCAGGGTGGAGTCTGCATTCAGCAGAGGTGAAGTGGGGTGAGGCAGTGAGGGAGGGTTTTCTGGTGAAGGTGACTGTGGAGATAAGGCTGAACCAGCTTCAACTGCTGGCGACCGATGGGGTATGGAGATTTTCTAGAGAAGGAGGATCCATTTAGAGGGTTATACATGTAGGCCTGAGAGAATGAGAGAACTGGGTGGGTTTGGGGCTCACAACAAGTTTCGAATAGAGGGAGTATGACATCCATGTGGGTGAGCTGGGTCATACAGAGCCTTCATATCTAGTAGAAAAACTGGTTAAGGTGCTATCACCGTTCTCCACAGGGTGGAGAGATTCAAGGAGAGAGGGAGAAGGGTGATGGGAGCAATCTTAGATGTTAAGTCTGGGACATCTGTGTACATTCAAGTGGGCAAGTGGACACAGAGGCTGGAGGTTGAGAGCTGGTGTGGGCTGAGTTCACAGACAGGGTGTGGAACAGGAAGGGAGCTGAGGCGGGATTCTGGAGAATGGTAGCATTTAAGATTCAGGTGGAGAAAAAAAAAAACTACAAAAGCAACTGAACAGTGGGTTCAGAAACAAAAGAAAATTAAGAAATGAATACTGTCTTAGAAATGGAAAAAACAGCTTCAAGGACTGTTGCTGACCCAGGCTCCCCGTTTCCATGACTCTGTGCCTTTATTTGCCCTTTCTGGAAGGCCTCTCAGCTGGAAAGCCCTAATCCCTGCTCATCTCTAATTCCCAGGTCCCACAATGGAACCAGCCTTTTCCCACATCACCTGCTATTATAATTAATGGTGCTCATGTTGTTTCCCACAATAGATTTTAAGTTCCTGAGCCCAGGATTTTCCCTCATATCTGCAAATCCCCAGAGTACCCAAAGTCATGGCTGTCATATAATAAGCCCTCAGTAGTACCATCACAAGACTTTGGCATTGTCTATAATAGAAGACAAAAATAACCAGACAAGCAGTACCCACAACTTTGACACGCAATAATTATTACAACAAGTGCCTGTGTCAATGCCTTCTTAGATGGTCAGCCAGTGGACACGGGTGAGTCAGGAGCTGTGGATAGGGACAAAAGCGATCACTTTGATTTTGGATTGAGTGTGTGATCCTAAAAAACCGCTCATTAAATAATTCCTGAAAGATAACATGGTATAGGTGTAATAAGGAAAGAAGTCTACAGTGCTTTGGCAGCACTAGTATATTAAAAACAAAGGACAAATAGTCCTTAAAACACTTACTTCTGGAGTTAAATGTACTTCCATAGGTGTGTATGTTGGCCAGTATCCCATTGTAAGTATATTTACTGTTAGATCTATAGAGCCTGGGTCACTCTGATTCTGCATATACTAAAAACAAAGAAAATCAAGATAAAATAATTATTTTAGAATATCATAAAACATAACTAATTTATAAAAAAATAAATAGTGTAATTTTCAAAATACAGTTTAACATGTGTTTGCATTTATTTTAGTCCCTAGAACATATTCTACTGAAGCCACATAATGTGTTCCAAAATCACTTGAAATATTTTTTCTTCCACTTTGGTTATGTCACCAACGTAAGATACCATTAGACTCATTTAAATCAAATTGTTATACATTTTTTGGGATTATTATTTTTTGGGGACTATTTTTCTTTGTCATTGTGAATTTAAGTTATTTGAATACGTGAGACAGTTAACAATGTAATTTTTAAGGATGAGGATTTTACATAACTTATATAATTATTTACATAATTTACAAAATCATTCAGATAATTTAAAGCAAGATACTTTTTGAAAACCTGTTGTACTTGAAAAAACACAACTTGCCTGCTTGAAATGAACCATGATGTCCTTGGAGAGCTCCATGTCCTTGAACATGCCTTCCAGTTTGCTGGTGAAAGCAGCACCGCACTCTGGGATACAAGGGAGGGGTGGGCGAAAAACACCAGGAGCAACATGTTAGTGCAATAAATTCCTAGCACAGTGGCAGGACAGAACCCCAGGTTCCACATGCTTACCATGCTTTAGTTTTGACAACATAGATTTTTCAGCATCGACTGAGGCACTTTTTCCAACAAGAAGTCTTTTTGCCAAATCTTTTTTGTAAAATGCTTCAAAGACATCTTTACCTATTTATAACCAAATGAGAATAACATAAAACATTAGACAGTTAATACGCAAATATTCACTTTAACTGCTGAAAAACTCTAGGAAGTGCTCATTCTGATGCAAGCCAGATCTAATTTCAGTGTTACATTTCCACAAAGGAATACTTTCAATTTAATCAGTGTGTGGCCATCACTCTATTTCCTGTATTAACATGGAAGTGGAAATGCTTCAGTCAATTTTTCTGAAGAGAAGATAAGGCTCAAATATGGATATTCTGAATATGTAGCATTTTCTATGTGCCCAATGTTAATAAAAATGACATATAGTGTATTTCTCACCATGAATAAACCTGAATATTATCATGATTTTGTCGAGGATCCTCTCCAGCTCTTCATCTGTTGCTTCTTTATTACCCGCTCTCAATTTTGAATCAACATGCTTTGCTGTGACATTAAGAGTTTAAATTACTTGAAAAATAAGTATTTGTTATATAATGCATTTTCTAAATAGAAAAAAGAACATATTTAATTTCTATAAGCAAAAATTGGACAGTAACACTCCAGATCCTTTCTGAAATCATGATTTTCTAAGATACGTACTTTCAAGTCATATAAGAATAAATACTTTAATTACATGCTTGGATTTCATGACACATTATTGCTCCAGAAACTGGAATATCCCATCATTAAGATGTGGTAAAAGAGATTCAGACAAGACTTTCTTTAAAAGACAGGATTTTTCTCAGGGCTTCCCATGGTTATATCCATGGTGACATAGTCTTTTTTTAAAAATTTTTATTGGGGAAGGGCAACAGTGTTGGGTAATTGGGGAGGGGGACCAGCCAAGTTGTTGTTCTTCAATTTTAGTTGTGGAGGGCGCCAGTCACCATCTGACTGCATGTCGGCAGCTTGTGGCCTCTAAGCTCAAGGTACTACTGTGTTACAATCTTAGCTGTGGGTGGGCATAGCCACTATCCCATGCGGGAGTCAAACCAGTAGCCTTGTTGTTAGGAGTGCATGCTCTATCCACTGAGCCATCCGGGTGGCAGCTCCGCTCTAGGTGCCGAGTTCAGTCTTAATTGCAGGCAGGCGTAGCCCACCATCGAACAGGCAATCTTGTTGTTAGGAGCACATGCTCTCATCAGCTGAGCCATCCTGCCACCTGTTGACAGCTCAGCTTGGGCACAGCATCACTGGCCCATGTGTGAATCGAACTGGTGGCCCTGTAGCTTAGAGCTCGCGCTCTTAAGCTAACTCTTAACCAACTGAGCCACTCTGCCAGCCCATGACAATCCTATACCTGAACACAGGGATTAGAGAAATTCTACTCTGACCTCCGGTTTTTGAGACAATACAAATCAACCATGACCTAGCTTTAGGGAGAACCCAAGACTTCTAAGAAGCCCAAACTCCTAAGAGTTAAACATTCATGTTTAGAGAAACAACAATCCATAAAGTGGCACAAAGGCCAAATTAAATTGCCTTATGAATTTCTTCTGTTGTTGCTTTTATTAGTATTTTTCTTTATAATTTTTATTATGGAATATTCTGAACATACACAAAAGTGGACAATTGTATAATGAACTCCATGTTCCCATCATACACCTTCAACAATAATCAACACAAGCCCAATTTTGTATCACTGTGTCACACCTTTCTTTGCTCTTTGCCACCTGTAAATTTTTAAAAACTTTCACTGACTAGTGAAATTCTATGAATCCTGAAATATATTTTGGTATTATCATGAAATAACTGTACAAAGTAGCTTTTTAAAAAACTGTTTCATCTTAGAAATAAAAAATCTAAATAGACTTGATTACTAGTAAGGAGATTGAATCAGTATTCAAAAAGCTCCTGACAATCAAAATTCTAGGACTAGGTTGCTTCACTGGTGAATTCTTCCAAACATTCAAAAAAGAATTAATACCTATCCTTCTCAAATTCCTCCAAAAAACTGGAGGAAGGAACAATTCCAAACACATTTTACAAAGCCAGCATTTCCTCGATACCAAAACCAGACAAGGATACCACAAAAAAAAGTAAAAGGCCAATATCCTTGATGAACATTAAATGCAAAAATTCTCAACAAAATATTAGCAAACCAAATTCAACAATACACTAAAAGGATCATAAACCATGACCAAGTGTGATTTATAACAGGTATGCAAGGTTGGTTCTGCACATCAAACATCCACAATCAATTAATGTGATATAGCACATTAACATAACGAATGATAAAAATCATGACTGCTTCAATAGATGCAGAAAACACATTTGGTGAAATTCAACATCCATTTATGATAAAAACTCTCAACAAAGTGGGCATAGAAGGATGTACCTCAACATAAACCCATAGCTAACATCATGCTCAACAATAAAAAGCTGAAAGCTTTTCCTGAAAGATCAAGAACAAGACAAGGATGCCCATTCTCGCCACTTTTATTCAGCATTGTAGTAGAAGTCCTAGTCACAGCAATTAGGAAGAAACAAAAGGTATCCAAACTGAAAGGGAAGAAGTAAAACTGTCACTATTTGCAGACATGATACTATTGATGTATATAGAAAACCCAAACGACCACCAAAGATTTGTTAGAATAAATGAATCCAGTGAAGTAACAGTATACAAACTCAATACACAGAAACCTGTGGATATACACTAATAACAAACATTTACATTTTTATCAAAAAGAATAAAATAGTAATAAATTTAACTAAGGTAGTGAAAACTATAAGATACCCATGAAAGAAATTAAAGACACAAATAATGGAAAAATAGTCCATGCTAGGAATTGGAAGAATTAACATTGTTATAATGTTAATACTACCCAAAGCATCTAAAGATTCAGTGCAATCCCTATCAAAATTCGAATGGCACATTCATAGAACTAGAACAAGTAATTCTAAAATTTATATGGAACCTCAAAAGACCCTGAACAGCCAAAACAATCTTGAAAAAGAACAAAGCTGGAGGCATTGTGCTCCCTGATTTCAAACTATACTATAAAGCTATGGTAATCAAAGCAATACGGTATTGGAACAAAAACAGACACACAGAATGGAACAGAAATGAGGTCACAGAAATAAACCCACACATATACGGACAATTAATTTACGACAAAGGAGCCAAGAATATATAATACTGGAGAAAGGACAAAGGACAGTCTCTTCAATAAATGGTGTTGGGAAAACTAGACAGCCACATATGGAAGAATGAACCATACATAAAAATTAATTCAAAGTGGACTAAAGACTTGAATGTAAGACCTGAAACCACAAAATTCCTAGAAGAAAACATAGGATGTAAGCTCCTTAACATCAGTCTTAGTGATGTTTTTGTGGATCTGATTCCAAAGGCAAGGGAAACAAAATAAAAAACTAAACAGGACTACATCAAACAAAAAAGCTTCTGTACTGTGAAGGAAACCATCATCAAAACGAAAAGGCAACCTACTGAACGGGAGAAGATATTTGCAAATCATACCATATTATCTGAAAAGGGAGTAATATCCAAAATATATAAAGAAGTCATACAACTAAACAACAACAAAAAAAGACAATCAGTGGGCAGAGGATCTGAATAGACATTTTTCCAAAGATGGTCAACGAACACATAAAAAGATGCTCAACATCATTATTAGGGAAATGCAAATCAGAACCACAATGCGATATCTATCACCTCACACCTGTTAGAATAGCTATTATCAAAAAGACAAGAAATAACAAGTGTTGGAGAAGATACAGAAAAAAGGGAATTCTTCCTTGTACACTGCTAGTGGGACTGTAAATTGGTGCAGCCACTATGGAAAACAATATGGAGGTTCCTCAAAAAATTAAGAACAGAACTATCATATGACCCAACAATTTCACTTCTGGGTACTTATGTGAAGAAACTCAAAACACTTATTTGAAAAGATATATGCAACCCTATGTTTACTGCAGCATTATTTACATTAGCCAAGATATGGAAACAACCTAAGTGTCCATCAATGGATGAACAGATAAATAAGATGTGGTATATACATATACAGAGAGTACCAAAAAAGTATACATATTTTAAGAAAGGAAAACTGTATTAAAATTGTAATACTCAATATATACCAATAACAAAAATGAATACAAGTCACGTTTGACTTCTGCAATTACAAGAGATGCTTAAAGTGGTTACCATCAGCGTCCAGAAACTTGATTACAGCAAGCTACTGCTTGAGCAACGTTGACCAAAGTGTCCACTTGTATACATTTTTTGGCACCCCGAGACATACATATACATATATGTATGTATGTATACATACATGTATGTGTGTGTGTGTGTGTATACCGAGGGTGCCAAAAACATGTATACACATTTTTTTTTAAGATAAAAATGTATACATTAGGGCCAGCCAAGTGGCTCAGTTGGTTAAGAGCTCACTCAAGAGTGCGAGCTCAGAGCAACAGTGGTTCGATGCCTGGCCCAAGCTAAGCTGCCAACAGGTGGCAGGATGGCGCAGCTATTAAAAAAAAAAAAAAAGTATACATTTTTTGAGCATATTTTTTGGCACCCCCAGTATATACACAAATACATATACCGGAGGTGGCAAAAAATTGTATACACATGACTTGTATTTATCTTTTATTATTGGTATATATTGAGTATTACAATTTTAATAGTTTTTTCCTTTCTTAAAATGTGTATACATTTTTTGGGGGCACCCTCTGATGTATAAACAATTTAATACTACTGTCATACAAAAGCATGAAATCTCACCATTAATGACAACATGGATGGACTTCGAGCATATAATGTTAAGTGGTGAAGGGGGTCAACTGCATGGTGATGGATGGTTATTAGACGTTAGGGGGTGATCTCTTTGTGGTGTATACAGATGTCAAATTATAATGTTGTACACCTGAAACTTATTTAAAAATTAAAAACACTTCCTATAAAGTTATAGCTATTGAGAAATTGTGGTACTGGCATAAAGACAGCCATAGATCAATGGAAAAGAACAGAGTTCAGAAACAGGCCTAGTTGATTTTCAATAAACAATTCAATAGGGAAAGAATATTTTTCAACAAATGGTGCTGGATCAACTGGATATCCACATGGCCAAGAATGAAGCTGAACTGCTACCTCACACCATATTCTAAAATTAACTAAAAATGGATCACAGACTTAAATGGAAGAACGAAAACTATGAACCTTCTAGAAAATACAGGAAAAACAAAATCAGTGACCTTGGGTTAAAGATTTCTTAAATATTGGGTTGTCGGAAAAGTCATGACGCATTTTTGCAACAAAAAAACAAAAAATACGTCATGACTTTTTCCGACAACTCAATAGAACACAAAGAGCACAAAGTATAAAAAATACATAAAATTGACTTCGTTAACATTAAAAATTTTACTCTTGGGCCGGCTGAGTGGCTCAGTTGGTTAAAAGCTTGCTTAAGAGTGCAAGCTCTGAGCAACGGGGTTGCCGGTTCGATTCCCACATGGGCCAGTGGGCAGCACTGGAGCTGAGCTGCTGCTGAGCTGCCAACAGGTGGCAGGATGGCTCAGCTGGTGAGAGCATGTGCTCCTAACAACAAGGTTACTGGTTCGGCTCCCGCATCCACTGGATGGCTCAGTGGATAAAGCAAGTGGTCTTAACAACGAGGCTGCTGGTTTGACTCCCACATGGGATGGTGGCTACGCCCACCTGCAGCTAAGATGCAACACAGCACCCTGAGCTGAGCGGCCGTGAGCTGCCCAAGGGCAGCCAGATGGTGACTGGACTTGGAGATGAGCTTGCTGCGCCCTCCACAACTAAGATTGAAGGACAACAACTTGGCTGTTTCCCTTCCCCAATTCTTCAACACTGTTCCCCTCCCTCAGTTCCCCAATTTAAAATAAAAATAAAAATTTACTCTTCAAATACACTTTTAAGGAATTAAATCACAAGCTACAGACTGGGAGAAAATGTTTGCAATCATGTCTGATAAACGAGAACTCATATTGAATGGGTAAGTATATTAACAAAAACAATATATATCTATATATCTATATCTATATATCTATGCACACGTGTGCACACGGCTTTTTGAAAAACGTATCCCCTAATAAGGTGTGATACAAATCCTTCCCTGACCCTTCCCATGAGAAACTTGAATATTCTGAGAAACAATCTGCTTGAGTCATGCCTGATTTTTCCATATTAAAAAATATACAGAAATATGTTTTTCTACCGATCAGTTCTGCGGGCTTATTTGGCCTCTTGTTGATAAACGTTTCAAAGGATTCCTTCATCAAGTTGATGAACTTTTCATTCCTCTGAAAGCACACTTCTATCACATGGTCCACTCTGTCCTTAAAATCCAGCAGGTCCTGCACCATATCTTTATCTTTTTCAGGATTGATAACAATCGTTGTCCCAAAAGTCTACAAGAACAAACATACACAGTCATCAACAGGTTTATGATAATACACATTATTTTCTCCTGCTATCAAATAATGAGTTTAAAACTTTCACAAATTCAGTCTGCATTCTAAAAATTAAGTGAATACTGTAGTCCCCCATTATCCTCGGGGAACACATTCCAAGACCTCAAGTGGATGCCTGAAACTGTGGAGATTACTGAACCCTATACAAACTATGTTTTTTCCTATATGTACATACACTTTATAACTTGTCTCTGGCATATATGAATGCCAGCATCACTACTCTTGTGCTTTGGGTCATTTTTAAGTAAAATAAGGGTTAACTGAACACAAGCAATATCATGACAGGTTCCTAAGTGACTAACGGGTGGGTAGTGTCTACAGCATGGACACACTGAACAGGATGACTCATGTCCTCAGTGGCACTGAGCAGGACGGTGTAAAATTTCACCATGCTATTCAGAATGGCTCATAATTTCAAATTTATGAATTACTTATTTCTGGAATTTTACATTTAATGGTTTTGGAATGCAGTTGACTGGGTAACTAAAGCTGAGGGAAATGAAACTGCGGGTAAAAGGGGGACTACTGTACACAATTAATGCTTTAGCATTAAAATATGCTTCTGGAAGAATTTATAAATTATTGGGAAAGTTTCCATTCTTTTAAAAGAACTTTTACTTATAAATTTCTCACAGAGAAATTAATTCCTGTTAACCCAATATATGTATTTGGATTTTGTGACTATTTTCTTTCTTCCTCACTTCTAACTGTAAATATGTTTTTTAGCTTGTATCTTTAACTCAAAAATGCTATATTAAACATTACTAAAAGTCTGTATGTGACAACAGTTACCTATTTGAGGATATAAACTACCAGCTGAAGAGGTGATGAATACAATTAATACTCAATGTAACGTATTTTTTTTGAAAAAGTGGTCTTCAGTGTACATTTATACTTACTTATCATACATGCACATGGAAGATTACTGATGAAAAGGTACAGATGAAACTGGCATACATGCCTTCAGGAGAGGGACACTGTATGGCCACCAGGGGTAGATGGCACCTACTTTTTACTCTGTACGCTTTGTGCTGACTGCATTTGAAAACAATATACACACACTGCAAGGATCAGCTTTATTTTGATAATGACACGCTGTGCTGAGTGCAATCTCCTATTTTGTTATAGTGTAACTGATTATCATTAATGGACACCCAGGAATGGTGGTCACATCACCGATTTTTACTACCCAGATTGAAAATTGCAAAGGTGAACTTTCTGTGTTCGGTACCTGTTCCTGTTCCCTGAGGACTACTCATTGGCAAAACCCTAAATCTCCATTAACCTTTCCGTAATGTAAAGCTCTGTGGCTGATCCATCCTAAGTCACTATGACTTTTAGCTCAATATCACTGTACAGAATTTGGGGTGGTGGTGTGCGTGTGTGTATAAGCGTTCCATATGTAGATTAATATGCAACTTAATTTTTTCTTCTGATAATTATAGATTCACATGCAGTAGAAATGGTGAAGAGGTCCCTGTACACTTTGCCTATTTTCTACTGATGGTAACATCTGGCAAAACTACAGAGTAGCACCACAACGAAGATACTGGTATTGGTACAATCTACCCATCTTATCCAGATCGTACCGCTTTTATCTCTAACTCATTAGCGCCCACACGCTAATGATTAAGTTCTCTAGACTTTATCACCCGCGCATGTTTGTGTACCCATCACCACAGTCAAGACACCAAACATTCCAGCACCACAAGGATCCCTGTGTTGCCTTTTTATAAATACACACACGCGCGCACGTGCAACAAACATGAAAGTGTATGTTTCAGTAATAAATTCTGGGTTGCTAGGAAATAAAGTAACATATATACTCCATCCTGATATACCAAAGTGTGTAATAGTTCTCACTGTGCAAAGCAATGATATCATGTTTAAAAAGCAGATTCACAAAAATGACATTTTGAAAATCATGATTGTAGAATTAAACTTATGTATTTATGCTGATGACAAATAGCCAAACAGCAGCCTTTTAAGTCATGTTTAAACCTAGATGGTGTTATCTTAAAACAAAGTTTGCACAATTGATTTGGAACAGAAAGACTACTATCCACCTGATCACCTGCAATGAAAAAACAAAGGTACCTCCAAGCAGTCCAGCTCACTCTGCCAGGGCACTGCTGTCTCCTCAGGATGGGCCACCCACCCCGGCACAAAGCACAGTTAGTAACACTGTCAAGACAAACCCCACACACCTTGATGTACTCGCTCCAGTGCTGCAGCAGGATCTGCTGCCCGCCCTTCACTCGGCTGAACAGCTGGTACATCTGAGTGAGGTCGGGCACTCTGTTCTCATCAAGTAAGTGATCAAGCCCTGAGATCACACAGTAAATATTAGCGTATCACATCAGTAAGTCAGTGCAAATAAAAACTAAACTAGAATATAGTGTGCACCACAAAAAAGTTAATAAGTAACTCAGAAATTTAGGGAATATTGCTTATTTCTATATAGGCAAGTTGTTCTAATGCAATATATGAGACAGATCCTTTTAGGTGAATCTTATTTTTCTGACCATGCTGGGAGATGTATTCTTTATTTTTGCATGTCGCTAAAGCAGCAATGGTCTGAAAAACACTCACACCAACTCTTTGACCTGGGAGGTTCATGATTCCAAGTTACTTCTGATTTAGTTCATCAGTCCATATGTGTATTTGTCAAAGGATAAGTTATCAAATATAATCTTTTAGTTTAATTTTATCCACATATATAATAAACTGTGAGAGAAAAACATTATTGTTTATCAGATATTCTGAATTACTTTAACATAGCATTTTACAAGTTTTTATTGTTTTAGCTTTTAAACACCTACAAAGATTTTCTAAAACCATACCACAATCAGAACTTCACACGTCTTTTCTAAATATCTGCTTTATGATGACAGTGGAGATGCAGCTAAGTTGGAGAATCTGTGAATTAGTCATATTACTTCATAAAGTTGCAGATTCTTCTTCAAAGGGGCACAATGTCCACACAAAGAAGGTGGTTTAAAGATATGCACAAATGCACTGTAGGCTGTAATTATAGTTCCTTAACCAGGGCTCCAATGTTTGTTATTTCTCTAAATTATATTTTGATCTATTGATCTACTTATTTTATAATTTATCTTACTGAAACCCTAATGTCTTCTTTAAGAATTCAAAAATTAGCTATTTTTTAAATGGCTTTAATAAAAATTTAGATATTAGGAAGTGCCTACATATATATAATTTACCATTTTCTTGAAGAAATTTATGAGAATTTCTATTTACTCAAAGTTCCTTTTTCTTATGACTCATTTAAAAAAAATATATAGTATGAATTCCAAATGCATTTGTTTTAAGTGGGCCTTAAATTAAGACCTCATTCATGTGTAACTGTGTAGGTTTCAGTGCTATATAGGTAGAAAGACATCCAGATTTGCATCCTGGCTCTCAACTTATGAGCTGTGTGACTTGGGGCACCAATGTCAAGCTGTTTTGAGCCTCAGTTGCTTTATTTGTGAGATGGGGGTAATGACTTTACAGGGTTGTTCAAGGACTAAAAGATATTTACACAAAGTATAGTGAGTGCAAAATAATGTTAATTCTCTCCCCTTTTGGCATTATTCTGGTTCCACTTGGAAGTTCTACTTTTAGGTATCTCATTAAAGAAACTACTACTATCTGACAAAGTAGAATTCAAACCACAATATATTTGGGTATTATTTAGAGCTTTCCCAAAATTAAACTTGAAGGCTTCCAATACCTTGTAACAGATCCTATAGTTCCAAAATGACTTTCAAATGGTAACATTAAATACTTAAGAATTGTAAAAGGTTAAACTGTGCTCATTATAATATCTAGAGACTTGAGCACACTTTAAAGGGTAGGAATAAAAAAAGGATAGAGGTTGAGTAAAAATATATCATTATAAACTATAAAAGTATAGGCTATACAAGAAATAGTATCACTGGTGGTGCAGAGCACCAACGTTTGATTTACTCTTTAACAAAGCTTTAGGATCACAAGGGGAATGTAAAATGAGAGGTAAAACTGTACAGTTACCAATATAATGTGTTCTATTTTATGCTTGCTTGTTTTTTTCAGGATAATCAGAATAAACAAGTGTACTCTGGCTCAAGCAGACCACATATTTGGCCGTTTATCTGACACTTAGCCAATCAAAGTGCATGGGGAGGAAGCCCACAAAAATCTAACAGCCTGTCCAACTCTGAACATCTACACCCGCAGAAACATTCTGAGCATCACCTGTATGTCAGAACATGAATAACAACACAACAAAGGACAATGAATATTCTAAGTACCTAGCTGCAAGCTGTCTGTAGTCTAGAAGGTCTCTTGGAGCCTTTCAGCCTGGATAGTATTTAATATGATTAACATAAACTGTAATTCTACCACATGCCTTTCAATATCTCTCTTAACTAATTTCTCAAGGGCTAATATGTTCATTATTTTTAATGATTTTTAGTGATTGTCTTATTACAATAAATGTCCTTACATTGTTATTTATAATGTTTTACTTACTTTCTTAATGAATTAAGAGCTATCATTCAGTTTAATAGACATAGGCGTTAGGAAAAATCTACCTTTCTGCAGAATTGCTGTTAAATGTTCTCCTAATAGCTGTTTTTCCACACAAGCAATCAGTGGTTTCCTATATAAGGGAAAAAGAGAACGTGTCAGAAGTAAAGTTAAAGGAGACACATTGGTTAGTTATAAAAGATGGGGGGTTTACTGTCTCTACAGACATAGTATGGAGTCAGAAACCAAAGGGTTACAGAACAAGTACTTCCCTCACACACCGACAGCCATCACTGTTGTTAATAAAGACTGAACTATTTCTAAAAACAATTTACTGAGTAACATAAATAGACTAACAGATCCAGGGAAAAGGGGACACCAGTAGTCAGGCAAGTGTGCCACACCTTACAATAAAAGTAGGCCCCAATGTTTGACTGGCAGTTGGCATTTACGCTCTAGTCATTTTTCAAATTTAAGTTTTGTCCTGAAGATACACATTACTTCTTGGATTGCTGTTAAATTTCTGCCCTCATCTTCCACCTAATCCTTTTCCAGGTCCCATAAAATACCTGCTTCTACTGCTATAGCTATGTCTCTCTGTCCTCACTTCTTTATGCCTGCTTTCTCCCATTATCAGTTATCAAAATCCGACATCATGATGTCGGAATCAGAAGCTCCTGACATCATGATGTCAGCGACATCAGAAGCTCCTTCATGATGTCCAAATTGTGTGTCACATAGAACAGAATATCTGAAAATCTGGAAATTCAGCAAGTGTGACTGCCATAATCACAGGGACACAATCATTCTTCTGGGGTTCGTTATCCAGTTTTGTTTTTTTTTAAAGATCAGAGCATCTTCTTTATTCCAAGGATTTTTTTTTATTAGTTTTGGCCATCTTTCCAAAAGCCTTCATTTTATAAGGAACTTTTCAATGTACCATCTTAAATAAACCTCACAGCAGACATTTTGGTCTCCATTCCACAGATGAGAAAACCAAGTTCAGAGGTAGTGTGACCTGCCCAAGTCCAACGGCTAGTGAGTGGGGAAAATGAGAGCACAGTTCAGCGAGTCAGCATTCCATTAAGCTTCCAGGAAAGGGAGCAGTGAGATAGGTGAGGGGAGATAAGAGGGCACAGTGAGGAAAATGTCACCGAGGGACAGCAAGCCAATCACTGCTGTTGCTTTCCCTCTTAACAGCTTTACTGAAATACAATTTATATACCATAAAATTCACCAACTTAAAGTGTACAACTGAATGGATTTTAGTGTATTTACAAAATTGTATAACCATCACCATGGTCTATTTTTAGAACATTTTCATCACCCTAAAACAAGCTTCATACCCATCAGCACTCCTATTCCCTCCATTCACCCTCCCTGCCTCATATTCCAAGGCAACCAGTACTTTCTACAGATTTGGCTATTCTGAACCTTTCCTGTAAATGGGGTTGTACGTTATGATTCTGTGTCTGGTTTCTTTCACTTAGCATAGTGTTCTTAAGGTTCATCCATGTTGTAGCATGTGTCAGTACTCCATTCTATTTTATTGTCAAATAATATTCTATTGTATGGGTATGTTTATCCATTCATCAGCCGACAATGGGTTGTTTCCACTTTTTGACTATTATGAATAATGCTGCTATGGACATTTGTTTACAAATTTCGTATGGATGTATGTTTTCATTTTTCTATATAGTTAGGACTAGAACTAGTACATTGTAGAAACATATGGTAACTCTATGTTTATAAACATTTTGAGGAACTACCAAATTGTTTTCCACAGCGGCTGCCCCATTTTACATTCCCACCAGCAATACACGAGGGCCCCTATTTCTCCACATCTTCACCAATGCTTTTGACTGCTTGCATTTTTTATTATAGCCATCTTGGTGGGTATTAAGTGGTATTTCACTGTGGTTTTGATTTGCATTTCTGGGATGACTAACAATATCGAGCAGCTTTTCACGCGCTCACAGAATCACCACTTCTTGACAGTTTATGGTCTAGGCTTCCGCCCTGTCACAGTTTTCATTCCAACAATTCATGCAGTGCCTACCAAAGCTGAGGTGCTGGGTCAGGTCGTGAGCCAAGGGGCAGATAATACTCAGAGGTGCCAGGAGCTCAGGCGCAGTCCTGGGAAATTAACTGTAGCAGCTGAGTCCCAAAAGAGTTGATTTCATTAACTACAGAGACAATTCACTGATTTGCAGTGAGAGGCTTTCTGCCACAGCATCTAGTGATTTCAACCAACAGGAGAGCAGGTCCAATGCTGAGAGGCAAAGTCCTGGGGAAACACAGAACCCAGCCCATCCCTGGGGCAGAGCCTGCAGGTAGACCTGGCCGTGGCTCAGTAACGGGGTAGGGCACAAGGCACACCACAGACAGTAATACATACAACTGCTGCTCGCAAGCACAATTCTCATCTGCCATCCGCTGTGCTCTGACTGGAGGCATGTGGGACATGGGGGCTTTGAGGCTGGAAGGGGCGCTCAGAGCCCAGCTCTAAGACTGGTGTAGCCAGCTTCTTCTTGGTCTCCCTCTTCTTTCTTTGAAAATTCTTTTTTATTCTGTGGTATGCCAGTCAGCCAGTGCTGTAGAAACCACCCCAGTTGGTGCTCCTCACAGTCCTCCCACCCATCCATATCTGAGGTGAACCACCTTTCTATCTATGATTCCTTTGCTTAAATAAGCTACATATATTTCTAAGCAATGTATTTTTAAATATTGGGGGCAGGGGCTTAAAATACAGCATCTATATAAAAACGTGTAGGAGTCTCGTATATGAGAGTAAAAAAAGGAACTACTGTGTTCATGGTCCCAGCAGCCCCTGCATACCCAGCCCCACCTTCATTCTGAAGTCTATTTGCAATTCCCTTGCTTTCCTACATGATTTATATATATCTCCCTAATTAGTATGCTATCTAGCTTGGCCTGTTCGTGAACTTCATACATATAAATGGAATAATGGTATATGGAAATTATTATTAATAGAAAAAAATGTAGCAGACACTAAACAAAGACTTTTATTCTTCTGTGACTTGACACTGGCAAGATCTGACACTACTCCTAATTTCCTCTTGGGCTTTTCAGACCCTATACTCCCTCTCGCCTCTGTTTGCCTAGTACCTCCCTTCTGTCTGCTTCCAGCCCCTGTAGCCCCTTCTACTCCCCAGCTGAATGTAAGCATCCCTACATATCCGAGCAACCTTGTCCTGGCTTCGGCTCAACTGTCACCTCTCTGCACACCTGGGATTTCCCACGTCGTCTCAAACTCAACGTGTCTAAAGGAACTTCATCTTTTCTCTTATGACACCTCTTATTTTCTGTATTCTCAAACTGTCACAATCCTGTCCCTTTCTTTCATCTAGCCTGGCCCCTTCCCCACCAATGAGTCAACAAGTTCCGCACATTTGATCACTTTAGTCTCTCTTAAAAACATCCATTTATTTTCTATTTCTTAACTGGCTCCCATTTCTCTTCTATCTACTATTATAGAAATAGATTTCTATTTTATTTCTCCTTGCTTGAATAAATATTAGGGGCTGACGCAGACATTCACAAAAATTTTCCCTTTTACTTTTCCCTAGCTACTCAGCTAACCTCCAGTTTAGAGAAAAATAAATTAGATGAGAGAAAATAATGTGACTGGGTACCATAAATAAAAGTTACAGCTATATTTGATGTCTAACATCAAAACTGCCTAAATTTAATTATATCCCATTAACATAAATAGAGTCCCTTGTCTCAAAACCCAAAGATGCCAAGTATGTCAGCCTGAATTATACCTTTGGACAATAATTCATGAGAGGGCACTTAGGAAGTGTATTTTATAAGTGCTGAATAATCACAAATAATATAAGTAAAATGTGCTAAGAGCAAAAATACTCTCAGGTAGCAATGAGTGAGTCTACAAAGGTAACATTTATTTCAGTAACCAGCCAGGAAAAGGTTTCACCTATGCAAACTGCAAAAACTAAATAAATTAACAGTACTCACTGTGTGCTGTGGTCTAAATATGTGATTACTCGGTCTCCTTCTTCCTCTAAACGTTTACTTACATGGTTAAGATATTCTGGAACCTTCCAAACAAAACATTGAAACACATGAGTAACAAAAAGATTCTTGATTTTACCCAAGAAGCTGAAATATTGTTTTCCTTATGAAATCTTTTTCAAAAAGCAGAATATATGTTCAAGTCAAACATTAACACAGATTAATGGGGCTTGGAAGTGGTAAAGTAGGAAGTGTACATAGGGTGGGATGGGATACAAGAAAAGTTTCCTTCAACTCAATTCTGGAGATTAAAATAACCTCTAGAATTAGAGCCAAGGCAGCACTGCATTGTCATGCCCTGTTCACAGTGAAGTCCCAGGGTCGATGCCACAGGTTCCTCCATCACTGAGGCCCCAGGGACAGGTGAGCAACAGCACCTGAGGGCTGATGTCATTTGTCCCTCCATCACTGAGGTCCCATGGACAGGTGAGCAGCACCTAGGTCAGAAGTTATGAGCCTAATGCCACCTCGTGGCCCACACACAAAGGGGGCAGCAAAAGCTAATCAAAAGACTAGCTGTTCATTTGGGGACACCAAACAGCAGGTTGTAGATCTCAAAATGAAGCTGTTTCCAGGGGCAAAGGGTGTCCCTGCTGTCACGACAGCACAGGAAAGGCCCCATAACAAAGGTCTTTGTGGTTCTGATCTAGTGGCAGCAGCTAGGCCTGGTACCTGACATGAAATTCCTTCTTCAAAACTAGGATGAAAAAACCAATAGTCGGGTGCATCCTGTGCAATAACAAATGACATTTAGGTGATGGTCATGAAGGGCTCCCTTCAGAACTGTGCTCTAATAACTGCAAAACTGGTTGTCAAAGTTTTGGGGTTCACATTACTATGTTTTTCACATGACTTTTTTGGGTGATTTTTTCAATGCCTCACACAGATAAAAACATTTTCATGTGTTAGATTTATCTTTCATATTTAAAATTTACCTTTTATCCTTTTGCTTCAACTTGAGTTCCTTTATGTATTTCAGAAACTATCTTATTGGTTTTCTTATTTGGTGGGGAGTGCAAAAAAAGTTTCTAACTTAAGGGAAAGAAATTAAATCCTTACTATAAAAACGAAGCTCATTACTGGGGATTTCAGCTACATTGTAGCTTTCAAAAGATTTTCAATAAAATGCTTACATGTGTGAAAAGACAAACATTTAGAAATTACACTTAGATACACATCTATAAAAATGAAACAAGGCAATTCAGAAACATTTCATTGTCTCACCTCTCTTTCTTGCATTAACCTTTGGCCTTCTGCAGCATATAAACAATTCGTTTCTTCCAAAAATTTCAGTTCAAATGAATCTTTATATACCTAAGAAATGAGCAGAGTGACTGACCAATTACATTAAAGAAATCTATCTTTTGAAATGCTGGTGTATTCCAAATTTTGAGAAAGCATGGCTGCAGGGACCTGCATTAATAATCTGCCCTTCCTCCAGCAAGGCCTCGGCAGGTCAGCTCAGCCGGCTTCAGCTTAGCTGACCCCAGGGGCTTAGCTGAGGTCAGCTGATTCCTGGCTGGCTGACCTCCACTCAGCTAACCAAGGCAGCCTAGCTCACCTCACTGCCACGCCCTCATCCTTTTTCTGGGGAGCACTGGGTCCATGTTGTAAGGGTTCTTTCCTTTTGTGGCTTCTGGTATGGTGTTAGTCTAAGTAAGAGTCATTCCCCTTCTGGGGATTAAAAAAAATCCCACACATTTTCAACAAATACTTTTATGATTTCGTATTTTGCACTTAAACCTTTGATACATCCATTTATTTTGGTGTAAGTAGCTAGTCAGGTAACCAAGTTCTTTTTTCTTATAAATGATTAAAAGTTATTGGTACATTTAAAACAATGAGATATTTACCTGAAGATCAGAGAGCATACTCAGCAGACTTCGCAATAAGCTTCGGTCAACAGCTTCACCATTTCTTTCTCGTTCAATCAATAGCAGAATTCCATCAATAGTTTTACTCTGAACCATTTTATCACTAATAATATGGTTTCTAAATAGTTCTAATCCCATATCCCTGTAAAAATAGTAAGAAACAAAACTACATTTTAGTTTTACCTTTTGGAAGTTTTAGGCGATGTTCCAGCTACACTATGATGAATGTCATCCCGAATTTGTTCATTTGCTAATTCTCTAAATCCAGGTGTCAAGAATTATGTTTCTAAATTTTCATTTTTGGCCAGTGTAGTGTGCTTTGTATTTCCTTATCAAGACTATCTATTTTCCTGAAGTGGGTCAGGCAGCTGTCACAAGAGGAGTGTTGAGGCCTTACTAGGTCAGATATGCCATTGAAAAGTACCTGAATCTTGTAAAAATCTGCCATCTTCAGCCTAGTTCACAGCATTCTTCCTGGGGACATGATCAGAAATGCTCGAGGCTTTAGGACCCTCTACCACCTGCTCCACTGCCCTCACCAGCCCCTTCGCATTCTTCCTTTTTCTGTCTCTGGTCCTTCTACAGAGTTTATTATCCAACTATTCCTCCCCTGGCTCTTGGTTCTCTCCTTTATTTGGCCCAGTCTATTAGAGAAGCAAATTTAAAATGTGACTTTAAGAGTCCATCATGCTTCCTCAGCTTTTTGCCTGAGAAATTTAGCTGTCAGTACTATCCACAAGAACCATGCGATAATGGACTCTGTGCTTTGTCAAAACACCTCCCCAAGTCCCCTAGGTGCCAAGCACTTCTCAAGGGGACAAAACTCAGACACCAGCCAGGTTTCCTGAAAGCGCTGCTCAGGAGAAGTTGTGGGGGACAGTGGTGGTGGTGGTGAGCAGTAATAATGGTGAGTGGTGGTGGTGGCGGTCAGCAGTTATAATGGTGAGCAGTAGTCATAGTGAGTGGTAGACACAGTAAGTGCTACGCTGGTGAGCACGGGTTCTGGGGAGCCCTATCTTTGCTGAACCTTCTCTTCCTACATGGTGCCCCACAATCACATTGGCCCTTTCCTGTTCCCTGGAGGAGCAGTGGGTCGCAGTCTTCCATGTACTCAAAGAGCAGTAAAGCTCAGTGGTAAGCACATGGGCTCAAGCCAGCCACCTGGACTTGAATCCTGGCCCCACCACTCGCTCACTTATTGTGACTCTGAGGCAAGAAACCTAACCTCTGTGCCTACCCTTCCTTAACACTAAATGGGGATCACATGCATTGATTTACACCTGTAAAACAGTTCACATACGTCTAGGTAGGTATCCAATGCATAGGAGGTATTAACTGTCCGCTAGAATCTTATTCCTAAAATCCAAATCTCAGTTTAAGGCTCCATCAGCTCCTCACCAACAGCTATCAGGGTATCGCATCAGCTTCATCTCTCCGACTCTCCCACAAATAGTACATTCTGGGCATGTTGCCATCCTACAAGCTCTGACAATTAAGTTCCCAAACTTGTTGCAATAATGTTGTTAACCTTTTTTGATATTAGAGGGATTATTCATTATGAATTTGTACCAACTGGACAGTTAACCAAATTTACTATATGGAAGTGCTGAAAAGGCTGCGTGAAAAAATTAGACGACCTGAACTTTTCGCCAAGAATTCATGGCTCTTGCATCACGACAATGCACCAGCTCACACAGCACTGTCTGTGACGGAGTTTTTAGCCAGTAAACAAATAACTGTATTGGAACACCCTCCCTACTCACCTGATCTGGCCCCCAATGGCTTCTTTCTTTACCCGAAGATAAAGGAAATATTGAAAGGAAGACATTTTGATGACATTCAAGACATCAGGGGTAATACGATGACAGCTCCGATGGCCATTCCAGAGAAAGAGTTCCAAAATTGCTTTGAAGGGTGGACTAGGCTCTGGCATTGGTGCATAGCTTCCCAAGGGGGAGTACTTCAAAGGTGACCATAGTGATATTCAGCAATGAGATATATAGCACTTTTTCTAGGATGAGTTCTCAAACTTAAATGTCAGACTGCGTATATTTCTAGAATGGGCTTTCTCTACCGCCACTTTCTATGTTAGGTATCTAATGACTCCTGCTCATTCTGCAAAGCTTGGGTCAAGGCTTGCCCCCATTCCTCATCTTCTCTCGTGCATTTCTCACATACTTTCACGATTCCCTCACGATTACTGCACTATCATGCTCAGTTTTTCTGCCTGCCTGAGTGTGGTATAGATTACTTTATGCTATAAGCAATGTTTATGGTTTTATATGACATGAGTACATTATAAACTGTTTATAAATTAAGAGTTCAGGCTAGGTAACCCAACAATCCAGGTACAGCAAGTTATTTGAACTCTCTGTGCCTCCCTCAGTTTCTCTATCTATAAAATGGGGATGACAAGTTATCCCTCCATAGAGCTGTTTTAAGGATTAAGTAAATTAGTAGGTGTTGAAGCACTTGGAACAGGGCCTTGCACAGAGTAGAAGCTTTGCGATTTGCTGCAGTCAGGTTAACCATCCTTATTTCTCTGGATAAAGGGTATGTTTTTCATTCAGTGCCTACCCTACTGTGGACATGTGTGGTGGGTGTCTAGTACAAGATACGTAGGAGTCAGAGGATGTCAGGGGCACAAGGAACAAAGAGGGAAAGTGGTATTAAGGAAGGGGAAAGCTTCAATAAGGAGAGAATGTCTAAAGTCACACAGATGTTAGGTTATATAAAATAAAGATAAAAAAGTGATGATGGAATCTGGTAACCAGGAGATCACCAACATCTTAGGCAAGAGCAGTTTCTATGTGGTAAAAGGAGAAATCTTATCGCTTTAGGTTAGAGTGAAAGGATGGTGAGGAAGTTGGAAAAGAAAGCGACCTTTTAAAGAGCTCAGGTTTACAGGTAATGAGAGTACACCATCACTTCTGAATGGGAGAATAAACTTCATATCAACAAAGGAAGAACCTGAGAAAGACTAAGGATAGGCTTTTGCTCAAGTCAGGCAGAGCTATCTGGAGGCAGCAGTGGGAAGGGTTAGGGTAGTCAGGCAGAGATGAAGGGCATCAGCAAAGGCTGTGGAAGTCAGTGACTAGGGACCCAGAAAGATATGGGGGATGAGTTCCTAATTTATATACAGTCCCTAAATGATGATGTATGATGAGCAGATTGAAACGACAGGCCTCAATATCCTAGACCCCTGTGTCCTCAGATGGTCAGCAGGATGGGGAGGCATGAGGGGCTTCAGGACCGCAGGGGACATGACCTCACAGTAGTCAGTCTTTGTCAGTTTCACCAGACCACTGGAAGGACCATTCTAGGCTCAAACTCCAGCTGCCAGAGAGAGTAACTGAGTTTCTCGGCCTTTCCCTCACAGCAGAGGTGAGCAGTGTGCCATCGTCTCGTCCTGAAGTCCAGATCCCCGTTACACAAACGTGGCTTCACATAGCACTTCTCCACTTGCCTGATGCCTCCACTGTGACAGTGCAAGCTGGAGAACGTGTAAGTCAGCCTGCCCCAGCTCCACTCTGTCACCCTCACTGGTGATGAAGACACTCCAGGGCTAAGATCCACCTGGGACTGGACGTGTGCACTAGTGATTTTGGCTAACATAAAGGACCAAAGACAAATAACCACATACACATTAAATTAACCAGCGGAAGAAACAAGTCAAATGTGTGGTTTTAGTCATGGCAGCAGATGCAGCTGTCCTAACTAGACACTCACCAGATAGAAGGAAGCATGGAATTCTGAAGTACATAAGTGCGATCCAAAAACAAGAAAATACTTCTGATCATGATCTGTAAATAAGAAAAGAGTTTATTTGTGTATCTCACTAACAAAATATTCAACATTAGGCCTTTTGAACTCTAACTGTGGTAGGTATCTCAAATCTAACTATAATTTTTTTTTTTAGCTGAGCCATCCTGCCACCCGTTCGCAGCTCAGTGGCAGCTCAGCTCAGGCCAGGAATGAAACTGGCGACCCTGTTGCTCAGAGCTCACACTTTTTTTTTTTTAAAGGTTTTATTGGGGAATTGGGGGAAGGGAATAGTGTTGGGGAATCGTGGAAGGAGAACAGACAAGTTGCTGTCCTTTTGTTCTTCAGTCTAGTCGTGGAAGATTCCGCTTCACTGGCCCATGTTGGTATTATCACTGTGCTCTTCCCAGGTGAGGCAGTCGCTCGCCGGCCACTGGACGGCTGCTCACAGCGGCTTACAGCAGCACACGAAAGCGCCAGCCAGCTGCCGGCCAGCTCCACTGCAGTCTACGCCGTCCCTGGCAATTCACGGCAGCCAGCTCCAGGTTGAGCTGTTGTTCACCATCTTAGCTGTAGAGGGCGCAGCGTCACTGACCCTCATGTGGGATCTGAACCAGGGCCCTGCTGCTCAGTGATGGCATCCCAAGCCAACTCTTAACCAATATGCCACTCGGCTGGCCCAGAGCTTGCCCTCTTGAGCGAGCTCTTAATATAATTGTTTCTTGATAAAAAGATGTTTCCCACCAAAACCCTCATGATTTAGTTTTCCCTCTAAATTGTTCTCCTTGATGTATTTCATCTCTTTTGTCCAGAAAATCTAACTGTAGGGATTTGAAAGCACTTAGCCTAAAGGATACCTTTGAAAGTTGGTCATTTTCTGACTGATGTGGTAAATCTCATTAGACTGGGGAGATGCTCTAAGCTTTTTAAACAATTAGTTCTTGTTACATTAGAATGAGGCTCTTGGCCAGGTGTATGTATCGGACTCCAATTTGCAAGCAGAGCGAGGGAGACACAGAATGAGCAGCCGTTCCCTCTGCCATGCACATGCATGCTGTAACCCAGTAATTCTACCATGGAACTTACCAAACTCTGTTATACCGGTTTGCTTACACACGTAAATTAAACCTTCCCAACAGACATCCATCTATTTCTACCATCTACCAGGTACCTGGCCCAGAACAGAGACATATTCATTGTCTCCTACTTACTTCATTTAGGAAACAAAAGAATTCAACCTACTTAGGAGAACTACTGATACTATCTTTTCTCTCACTTACACAATGAACAGCCAGGTCACACTAAAAACTCATATACATAAAATCAAATTAGAATCAATACATCTACAAAGTCTAAGACTTTGGTTATCTAGTTACAATAAAGTTCTAAAATTCAAGCTTGATTATCAGTCATAAACTGGGATTAAGGAAAAACTTAAGAGACCCATTCAGGAATTATGGGTACTGTGAGCTATCATCTGTCAGGTTGGTTTGAAGGCCAAGTTAGCAGCCAGCCGCGTTACGGAACAGAGTTCACCTTGCCCGCTTTTCTCTACCCTGCTGGATGGCAGCATTTGACCCAAAACAGAACCCTGACAGAACTTCCTATCTCAGCTCACAATCTGGCCCACACCTTCCCTAGGTGGGCGAGGGAAGATAGGTGAGGCCGTGCTTTGATTAAAAAGCAAAAACAAACAAACATGATAGATGGATTAAGAGAGGGCATATACTCCCAACTACTCAAATTTTTCTAACTAAATCAGAGACTGAATAAGACCAAAGAGGAAGTAAGACCAGACATAAAAAACAGTACTGATGAAGATTCAGGGATAGTGCACCATATACAAAATTAGTATTAATAAAAAGTCGAATGCTTACCATTTGTCTGCAGTGATCTTGCCAGCACGTGTTAATCTTCTTTAAAAATAAAACACTATCTAGTGAGTCTGTGCAGACTTGCTAAGGAAAGCTTGAGACGTTGGCCAATTTATTGCAATTTTAACCTCTTAATTTCAGCTCTCTTCACCACAGAATTCTACATACCAGTTAGTAATCAGAATACTGCAAGACTATAAGTTCAAAAGCCATAATGTAGTTTTTCTTATCGCCACATCTCAATACCTAGTAGTAATTATCCCTGCCTGCACTCCCTTGTCTTTCAGCTCTTTACTGCCCCATTTCTGGTTCCCCTTCCTTCTTGTAGCACTTCACTGCTGGATTACTTTCAGAGCCCTGCCAGCTGAAGCTAACAACCAGGTCATGGGCTTCATGGGCCTGGGTGCCTGAACCAAAGGGCCTACCCCACAAAGGGCAGATCCTGATCTAATCCTGTGGTGAGGAAGCCGGTCAATTATTAATAGCACCAGGGGACTGGCAGCTGCAGGATGATGGTTGAGGTTTAACTTCAACTTCTAGTCAATGAAAAGTGACAGGAAGTCTCGTTCACACACCAAATTGGGAACACTCTCAGTTTGACTCTCAGAATATGTTTTTAAAGAAACACTCAAGATTTTGTTTATAGGAAGAAAAAAGCTGGAATTCAGGTTCCTAGAGCAAATCATGGCTAAGTGCCTTGAGCACTGCCTTCAGTGCTTTTTGCAAAGTTGAATAGTCATAAATGTCTACACACTACTTTATAGTTTACAAAGCACTTTTCATGTCTGTGCTCATTTAATCCTCCCTACCACATAAAAAAAGACATTAATTGCTTCGTACAGATGAACAAAACAGCTTGTTGAAGTGGAAAGATACAAGTTTCCCAGACTTCAGTCCTGCTCTACCACTTCTTAGCTCTATAACACTGGTCAAATGATAAGCTTCCCTAGACCTCAGTCTCTCCGTGTGTAGCAGAACACACCCCTCAGAGTTGTTGTGGGGTTGTATATAAAATTCTTATGTAGAGAGGAGAAAAAACACACTAGCCAGTGTGTGACATGTAAAATCAGATAGGTATTGGAAGTCTTCAGTCAGTGGGGAGGTCTGACAGAGGGAGGCATAGCCGGTGGAGGTCAGGACATCAGCCAGGACTTTGGGAGGGGGACAGAAAATGAAGAGAGCCGTGGAGGGACTCTTGGGCACATCTGTATCTTTGTCCTACTAGTAAGGGTAGCTGGCCACAACCAGTGGTCCTGGCCAAACATCTTTCTTACTTTTCCTTGAGGCTTTGCTAAAAAATTAAAGATAGTCACAGCAAAGACCTAATAGTTCAATAATTAACAAATTATTCTCAAAGAACTTTTATAATTGCTGAAAATTATAATGGCCCACTGTATTAGAGCCTTATATTGGCAGTCTGAAAAACAAAAAATCAGTCACAAGCACATTTAGACAGGTGTGACCAGAGCAGCGACTCAGCAGCTCTGGCGCTCAGTGCTGAATATGAGGCACTTGCCTCGTGGTGGACACCCTGGCAGGTCTCCATGGGCAGTCACACAGTCTGCAAGGCTGCACAGGGTTAAACCTACACCAGCCAATCTGACACCATCGGGCGGCTCAGGTGCTGCAGCTAAGCAAGGCAGAGCTCTACCTGGTGTGGGGTTTCATTAGGATGGAAAGGTCCAATGTGAAGGGCTCATTAAGTGAAAGATACCTTTCCTTTAAAGAGCTGGGTAAAATCAATATACATCTCTAATAACTTTTTGCCATTTCTTGTGGGAAAAAGTATGAAATGCTAAGCTAATACCACAGTGTGGCTTCTACTGAGCTCCTGCCTTTGAAGTATCAAAACCAATTCCAGACCCTAAGCTATAAATGTAGCCACACGTGAGTGCTCAGGTCATAAGACATACTGACATGCTGAGAGTTTATTCTCCAGATAGGTTCCCCAGCAACCATCCTTTTCTCATTTCAGAGAAGAGCCAATTCCAGTTAAAGGATTTACACAGTTTACTAAGGTGTCAGGCAAGTCTTCGAACAAAAATTCAAGGGCTAAATGCTCATAATATACCATGAACAAACTGCATATATATGTGATTACAATGATTAAAAAAAAGAAACCAAAAGGACAGTGGAGTAGAAAAATGATGGTCCTATTTTTGCCCATTTTCTAAACTGAGTTATCCTGCTTTTCCAATCCCAGTGAAGAGTAGCACCCAAGCTGCCCTTGCAGTGGAGAGAGCAGGAGATAACAATGATCCCACAACACAGGCCAGCAGTGGCTACTTACCACCCAACACCCCTCACTTAGGTCCCTTTGTTATAATCACTAAGAACATTTTCTTTCATATTTAAAGTTCACATTTTGGACTAATTATTGCCTCCCTCATTAGTCTACAAAGCCCATGGCTGTAGGAACTAGTATGTCACGTTCGCCTCTGAACCCTAGCACCAACCCAGGGCCACTTACCTACTATGTGGTCTTGGGCTTTCCAGCTAATGCGGGTACCTGTACCCTGGAGTGCTGTGTGAATGTACAAAGCTAGCCTACTGCCAGCAAGTGCTCCACACGTGCTAACTGCACACCAGGCATGTGAGTACACTCAGAGGGGCTTTATAAAGAAGCCCAAAGCCTGCTCTCATCAGTGCAGATTAGGGAGACACACTTAGAGGGAACGGTGCAGCTTCATGATTTCCCTTATAGCAAAGGCTTCTTCATTTCCTTATGCATCCTCTGGTTTTGAGGACTACACTGTTTTTGTGTGTGATCGACCACAGATGCCCCAGGCTAATTAGCATTGCTGGCTAAACAAAGGTGTGCAGCCATAAAGTTAAATAAGGAGAAGGATAAAGTGAGTTTTGCCTATAGTTATTTACAGGTTTAGATTCTGAGGACAGTTTGCTATTTTAAAAGAACTCAAGAATCGAGCCTAAGTACACAGCACATACTTCTTTGTACATATGTGATACCTGGTTCAGCACATGCTGCTTCTGGTGGAGGTATGCATGTGTAGGGGTCTCATTTGTTTTGGGGAAAGGTGTATCACCAATAGCTGATAACTTACTTTGAAAGGAGCAGGTAAGTGCAGAATTTATCAAACACACGAACAAGGGAATGGATATGGTAACCTAAGAAAATAACAGTAGATGACTCAATTCGACAGGAGTCCTTTCTCCTCCTGTATACGTACCCGATCTGAGGGGTTTCTGGAAGTCTCCCTGAGTTCTCATGTGGGCCTCAACAGCAGCATGCAATCAATGTACAGTAGGTAGCAGTCCTTGACATGGCACACACTGGCCAGGTTCCAAAAGGCCAAAAGTGTGGTCACCATTATCCTGAATGACTTCACAATCTTTAGGACAGGGCTTTGCCAGAAAATACTGTAGTGTTGTATTTACAGATGTCAATACAACTAAACCAGAATTGACTTCACTGACCCATTTATGGGGAGAACTACAAATATTGCCCTAAACTGAGACATCTCACTCTGGACCTGGGCTTCATCATCATGGATAATCGAAGAGTCTCAATGCCAGGCAACAGAGTTCCTGTGGCTGCTGAGGAGATTTTAATGAGCTCTGAATGCTTAACTTTCTCAAGGTGAAGGTAATGGGAGAGAAAAAATTCCTTCAACTAAAGAAAACTTAGAAACGAGGATGCTCCAACAACTTTATTTCACAAATAAAGAACGAGTCACAAGTAGATTGTCTGCAATTATACACCCACTTTCCAATTCCTACCAAATGAGATATGTGGGTTGCTATAGTAATGGGAGGGGGCTAGGGAACTAGATGGAGGCCAGATTGTAAAGAATTGTCTAGAGCAGGGGTTGGCAAACTGTGGCTCCCGAGCCACATGCGGCTCTTTGGGCACGTTCCGTCTCAAAAGTTTGCCGACCCCTGGAAGAGCCAATCCTGTCCCTCACAACACTTTAAAAATTATTCGAGAGCCATAAATATATTTTTACATAATCACCATTACGTGAATAATATCCTTTAAAAATTTTATAAATGAAACTATAGTTTTATTTTCATTTTCAATTTTACTTCAGAGCCACATGTATGTACCCAAAGAGCCACATGTGGCTTGTGAGCCGCAGTTTGCTGACCCCTGGTGGCTCTTTTGTCTCAAAAGCTTGCCAACTCCTTGTCTACAAGATGCTAAGAAGTTCAGGAGTACCAGTTTCCCTGGTAGACATCTGATCACAGACAGTAAAATTCCAAGATTCTCCTGCCTATAACTTCCTTCCTTTGACTGTGAATACAATGGGTTACATCACATAAGACTCTGTAGAACAGTGAGGCGGATTTTCCTGTTGGCCCAGAAGCAGCAAATAACCATGTTGTCAGAGAAGGGACCTGGTGGCAAGAAACCATGAACTGGGCGCTGAGAGTGACCTCAGTCCCACAACATGTAACTGAGGGAGCTGAATTCTGCCAACACCTGAATGAGCCTGGAAGACGAGCCCGGCCTCAGGTGAGACCACAGGCTTAGCAGACGCCTTGATTTCGACCTGTGAGACCCTGAGCAGAGAACCCGCTGAGCCAAGCCACCACTCTTTACCTGCATGACGGTGGGCTAACAAACGGGTATTGGTTTACATAGCCAAGTTTGCGGTAATTTGCTACACATCTTAGAAAACTGATGCAGATGGGTTTTTATAAGAACAAAGGATAGCAGAACTCAAACTTTAAGACATTGCTCAAAACTTTACCTAAATACTTCAACCAGACCCAATGAAAGGACACAGTTTCACTTTAATCAGATCAGCAGTGATATAAATGGTTTAGAATTCCACTTAAAGAAAATCTATTATATTGGGTCGTATGAAACAAATTTAAGGTTTTGGTTCTGTAAATAAAAGGAATTTAAAAAGCTGTTATTTTAATATTAAGGATACTCATTAGTTCTTTATCCTATTAATGTTCAGTTTCAAAACATTTAGGTAATGAATAGAAATTTCATGAGACAACAAAAGGATATTCTCTAAACTGAAGAATTTGTGCTTGGACATGATCTTCACAGACTTGGCGTAGCTGTTTGTAGAGTGTTGGGGAAACTTTGTGAGAACAGAGATTTTCAACAGCCTAAAAACAAAAGGAATAAATGAATTATTCACTATGAATAACAAATTAGTTCTTTCAAAAACCTACTTGTATATATAGCTATAATCATAACAGAAGCACTTACATAATTATATGTAGCTATAATCATTTACATGAAACCTCTCGCCCCATACTTATGTAATCTACAAATAAAATCTTATATTTAAGTTTAGGGCAATTATTGTTGAGACACTGGAATCCAGTAATAGTTTGGTCAAAATGGTACTTAACAATGGTTAATATCCAACACAGATTCAACGGCATACCTATGATAGCCACACGATATCTAGGATCCCAGGTGGTATGCTTGCACCATGTCTGAAAATCTCACAATACTCCATTTTTTTTCCTACTGCAAAATAGTCTGTGGCTGCACACCACAGTCACCCAGGGACTTCAAAACAAGTTTGATCCCCACAGCTCTGTTTCTGAATGTTCCAATTCATTAGTCTGAGGTGGAGGCCACAGGAATGTGAGTTTACCCATGATTATAATGTGAAACCAGGGTAGGAAATCACTGCTGCAGACCCTCAGTGACCACCCTCTAAACGAGGGCGGGGGGAGGAGGGAGAAGATCAACAGAAATTCTAGTTCCTTTCACTTTCACTAGTATAATGATTCTGTCCATAATGAGGTGAACGAAAAAAAGTCCCATATGCTCACGTGACACAGCCAGGTTGCATTATTTCCTATTTATTTTTCTGCAAGTTAGATGTGCAATTTACTTAAGTTTGTTTTAAATTAAAAAAGAAACAAGTTTTTGAGGCAGAAATGTTTTTCAAGTATTTTTATCCACATCAAAGAAATGTTTATATATTCTTACCAGTTCTAGTAAAATTTCCCTTCAAATCACATGTACAGGGCCAGCCGAGTGGCTCAGTTAGTTAAATTAGCTTAAGAGCGCGAGCTCTGAGCAACAGGGCCACCGGTTCGATTCCCACATGGCTAGTGACGCAATGCCTGAGCTGAGCTACCAACAGGTGGCAGGATGGTTCAGCTGGTGAGAGCATGTGCTCCTAACAACAAGACTGCCTGTTCGATGGTGGGCTACGCCTGCCCACAACTTAGACTGAACTTGGCACCTTGAGCTGAGCGGCCACCCAGATGACACAGTGGATAGAGCACGTGCTCTTAACAATAAGGCTGCCGGTTCAACTCCTGCATGGGATGATGGCTCTGCTCACTCGCAACTAAGACTGAACTCAGCACCTTGAGCTGAGCTGCTGCCCGGATGGCTCAGTAGATAGGGCATGCACTCTTAACAACAAGGCTGCCGGTATACCCCACTTCCTCATGGGATGGTGGCTATGCCGACCCACAGCTAAGACTGAACTTGGCACCTTGAGCTGAGCTGTCACCCGGATGACTCAGTGGAGAGAGTGTGCGCTCTTAACAACAAGGCTGCTGGTTCGACTCCCATATGGGATGGTGGCTACGCCCACCTGCAACTAAGATTGAACACAGCACCTTGAGCTTAGAGGCCACAAGCTGCTGATGGGCAGCCAGATGGCGACTGGCGCCCTCCACAACGAAGATTGAAGAACAACTTGGCTGGTCCCCTTCCCCAATTCCCCAATACTGTTCCCCTTCCCCAGTTAAAAAAAAATCTCATGTACAAAACCAGCATCTCACTCAATCCAAATATGACATACTACAAACTGAAATGTAGTTTTTCTATTGACTAGTTTTGAACTATTTAAAAAATATGGGGATACAGACTAGAAACATTTTAGAATCTGAATTTAATGCAATACTTATTCTCTAGGGAAAAAAAGATGACTTAAAATTTTAAAGATAATCATTGTAGCAATACTTATAAATATTAATAACCCCAATACTTAATACTAGGAGAGCTGCTACATATTAATCAAAATTAAAATAAATACAGTAATTACTAACATATAAAACATGCATATTTACAAGAGTCAAAAGAGAACGTGGGATGATGACATTAAAAAATTAATAACCCTTTTCTAGTAAGTTTATTATAAATGTAACAAAAAACTACAATCTTTCTCCTACATTTTGTCATACTACAGAAATGAGGGATTCCTATCTACAGTTTGTTTTTACATCCTTCAATTCTTTTCTCAAAGCCTTGAATTCCATCACTGTAGTCATGTCTTCATAATTTAGTGAAAAATCTGCTATCCTTTTCTCTCTTAAAAATCCCAGGATAACCCTCCTCTGGTTAAAGCTGGCTTATGGCATATCACCACTAGTAAAGCAATCCTACAGAAGCACTTTGCAGCAAACCAGCCCAAATTTTACCATGAATTTCCCTGCCTGGTTTGCTAGGTCTAGCCTGTTTTAAAAGACAGGGAGAACAACTATGTTATCTTTAATCATTGCAGTAGAATGCAGTGTATATGGATGGGTAGGGGGAGGAGAGGCATACATCTGAAGAGGTTGTATATACTAGAGGAGGGGCTATTCGAACAAGAATATTCTAGCCTCTAGCTGTATCATCTTGGAAAAGTTATTTAAATTCTATAAGCATAAATTTCTACCTGCTTGCAACTACATTCTTATTTGAACCTTACATAAATACTGTGAACTTTGGTTAAATGTTTATAATTAAATATATTCTAAGTCTTTTTCCAAGTATATTAACTTGTTAGCACTAATGGAAGCCTTTCATAATTTTATAAAACTCATAAGTAAAATGTGATAGATTTATGAAATATAAATGATATGATTTAAGAGAAATAACACCTCAATATACATTAATTTCCCCCTTGTTTGGATTTAATCCTCAATAACAAGATGTAACACCAATAAACAAACAAACAAACCAAAAAACCCAGGATAACCTCATGACAAAGGCTTTGGTCCAGTAGTTAATCATTAGAGAATTCCACAAACATAATTATTACAAAATAAGTTTTTAACATTATACATGAAGAAAACATATTTTCTTTGGCAAAAATCAGGGTAAGCTTAGTGGTATATGGCCTTAACAGAACATATTAGAACCATTCTCTGAGTGGTCCAATTTCTGAATCAGGAGTCAATGTCCTCAAAACAATCTTTTCCCAGTTGTTACATAAGCATTGCCACTGAATTTTATAACCAGCTTTTTCTTGTATATGTCCTGTTTGGCACATACTGACTATTTAATGTGAAGCACACTGAGATTAATTTTGTTTAAAAGGGAGAATTTGAGGACCTCTTAAACTAGCCAAACCCTGGGGTAACCCAGGTTTGCTGTGAGTGCCATCATTTCTCCATATCTTTTGCTGAGTCATTGCTGGCGTCTTCATGTTACAGGCACCTAATTACCTTAAAAGACAGAGGGAGGCCCTGCTCTCTACCCACACTGGCAGGGACCCCAGCATACTTTCTGTACTGTCACAGGAGAAGCACAACACAGGAGTCCCCTTCCCAAAATGAGTTTTGGAGATATAGTCATATTTTGAGATTAAGAAATGTCTTCTCTAGGTGTATAAAGTACTGAATCTGACCTGTACTGTGTGCTTCATATTAGGGTGCTGTTGCTGTTCATATTTTTAAGAGTCATTGCAGAGAAAAGGAATTTAATCCCATAATTGGAGGTGAGGTAGCAGCGGCAACTGGGTTCTATTTGTATTAGGATAAAGGTGTTCTTCTCCTTGTATCAACATAGCTAAGTGGGAAAATTGTGCTTGTCTGAATTTTCCCCACATGCCTGCTGCTCTCTAATCAGTAGGTCCGCCAGGTCACCGCACCCAAGTTCTTCAGATGGTTGTCTGTATTGGGACTGACAAGTGTATTAAAGCAAAACAGACAAGCACATCAACCTCAACTGCTTGTCTATTTGTAGTGCCAAACCCTTACCCCCAAGTGCACTCATCACTGCTAAACAAAATGCTTCCCCTCAAGTAGGGAATACCAAAACAGGAAATTAAAGTGAGCTGTGGGATAAAAAGAACTATACAGCATTTATGATTTAGGGTGCACGAATTCTGGAAGACTATCTGTTTTATGTAAAGATCTTTATGGCTAAAGTTGAGACTAGAGAGAAAAAGGAGTGAAACATTCCAGAGAGTGAGAAATCATAAAGGGAAAAAGCAGGCAAGTACTAAGTTATTTATATAGAGGAAGGCGAAAAATGAAAAACAAACGACCAATTTCTGTCCCCACCCCACCCCCTACCTCCAGCCCTTGGGAAAACCAGGTACCTGGTCGACTATTATAAAGAAAGATGTATTGGCTGGGGCACAAGGCAAAACCCACGTTCTTCATTTCACAGTTAAAAGACCAGCACAGTGTTCTTAGAGACATGCGTAGTTCGGGATTGAACAATATCCCTCAGCAGTAAACAGTCCCTCGTTAAGCAAACAATATCCCTTCAGCAGTTAACAGTCCCTCGTTAAGCAATAAACAGTCATGAAAATGGACCCTACTCAAAAGCAGCCCTATTTAAATGGTGACCTGCTCACCACACAGGGAGGTGCGAAGAGGGCTCTACCCCTCCTCTAAGAAATGAGTAAACAATGTAAAAACTAAATTAGGACTCAAGTCTGAGTGAGGGAATAAACATGCAAGTTTCCTAGGACAAGAGCTTTAAGGAAAATCAGTCACAGTCTATTGGCTGTATTTACCAACACTGACTGCACAACAGGTTCCCAGTTCTAAATGTTATAAGTAAATCACCTAGTACAAATGACTAATTTTACTGAATGTGAAAGTTGTTGAATTATGAAATCCTTTCTGCTAGGCCTGATATATTTCATTTTGAATATCCTCCTCAGTTTTTCAAATAACTTATGTATTGAATTCACTCTCAATTAACCTGTTACTTTACTTTCTCAAATTAGTTCATCAAATATGTCTATCTGTCTACCATTTTCTGGACTTTATTTCACTTTTTCTAATTAGTTTTAGCCATCCTGTTAATACATTCAATACCTAACTCTACTCCATTCTCTTTCAGTAAAATTATCATCAGGTAGAAGTATTTCATAGAGATGTTACTGCACGACTTAAGATAAACAGCATGG